ATGACATACTACATCCTTATGGCCCTACAACTGACTGGAAGGTAGGCAGGACAACATTCTGCTGTGTTTATTGTTTGTTGATGAAAAAAAAAAAGCTCATTTGATTTGGTGGAGCACAACACAGCCTGAATACAGGCTCTCTTCCAATAAGGAGTTTCTTATGTACGTATTAAGACTATACAAAATTCCTTGACAAATGCACCAACTGAGATAACTCTACCCAATGACTTTCATTACTGACTTTGGGTGAGGTATAAAATAGCAATATGTATGCTCTTCAAAGGTGTAGACCATTGTCACAGAGGGTCATTAAATGGAAGAGCCCATTAGACATCATGACGTATTCTAGAAACTCTTGTTTCTACAAACTGTTATTCAGACTATATCAAACCCCCAGAACATTATAGGGCGTCCTCAATGAAGTCCATGTTTATGCGAAAGAGATCAGTCTTACAATCCAATGTGAAAACTAAGTGCTTGAAACATGACCAATCAATAAGCATTTATTAAGCTCCTAATGTGCACCAGGCACTGTGCTAGATGCTAGGGAATGCAAGTAAAAAGAATGATCAATTCTGACTTTCAAGAAGCTCACATTCTAATGAGGAAAACAACAAAGTAGGGCACTGGCACTTGAGGGGATTGGGAAAGGCTTCATGTAGAAGGTGGCCAGTGAGCTGTGTCTTAAAAGAAGAGAGAGATGCTGTGAGGTGGAGGTGAGGAGGAAGTACACTCCATGCTAGGCATGGGGAATGGCTAGTGCAGAGGCAGGGAGATGGCGGCAGATGGTGTGGTTTGTAAAGTGCAGAGGCAGGGCTGGTTTGGCTGGATGGCAGAGTGTGGGAAGGGAAATAATTACCAATGAGGCCAGAGAGAGGGTTTGGGGACAGGGTGTGAGGGGCTTTAAAACCTAAACAAAGGGCTTTATATTTGATCCTTAAAGCATTACGAGGGAGCCATTGGAGATCAGTGAGTAGGGAAGCGACATGGCCAGATCTGCACTTGAGCAAAAAACATTTTGGCAGTAGTATGGAGGACAGACTAGAATGATGATGGACTTGAGACAGCCTGAGTGCTGAGAAGTGAGGGTTCTTTTATTTTTTTTTTCTAGAGGCCTAGACCAAAGATATATTCTGAATGATGTTCCAAGGAAAGACCATGGCTTGGGAATACGAACCAAAGAAAGAGATTTTGAGAGATTTTTCTTTCCCTCACCAAGATGGAACCAGGATCCTGTAAACTCAGAGCTGGGGCTCTCGGCCATGTGCTATTCCCTCAAAATGTGAAAAAGCCTTAGAATAAGGATTCCAGCACATCAAGCTCAATATTCTGATAGGACAAGAAGACATGGATGAGTGGTGACATGGATGCTATTCACATGTCACTGGTGGTTTCCATCTTACTAATAAATCCTGTTCACCTAGATTTAAGGAGTATAGAGCTATGCTTGTTATCATTGAGATTTAGAACTCAGAAGACCTATGGGGTACAGTTGAAAGAGTGCTGAACTTGGAATGCTAACCCCTTGGTTTGAATCTGACTCTGCCATTTAGTACCCAAGTGATCTTGGACTAGTCACTGAAATCTTTTTGGGTCTCAGTTTTCTGGGATGTAGGCTTCTCAAACCTATCATGTTCAAAACAGTCATCATCTTTCCCTTCAAATTCACCTGATGGGGTGCTTGGCTGCTTGTGTTTGGGTGCTTGGAACTCAATTTCTCCCTAGCCTCAGAAACACTATCCCTGACAGTTTCTCCTTACCCCAAGGACACTGTGCCTAGCAATCATTCATGAGTGGGCCCTTATCTCTCTCCTTGGTGCAGTTACAAACAGCACCTGAAGGAATTATTAGTTTGAACTGGCTTTGCACTGGGTCATAAAGATATTCTTACCCTTTGGACTATCTATACTACCACCCTACCTCATTATCTACATCCTGGACTCCTCATTATCTATATTCTAGACCTAGGGCTTATGGATACTCCCTACATCTGTCTTGTCAAACAAGGCATTGACTGGTGGCAGACTGGACAACTCTCAGTTACCCTGAACTCTAGTTAACTTAGTGATGTAGCAGGCCTAAAACCACACCTCCATGTGGCCCCCCCCTTGTGGGCTTTTCCTAGTGAACTCTGGGTAAAACACCTGTGCAGTAGGTACAAGAAGTGCATATTCCTTTAAAAACTGTCCACTCCTCAACCACTCCCTAATCCCACCCTGAATCACCTAGTTAGCATATTTGGCACATATTTTATTGTATTTTATCCTATATAAACTTTAACTGTACCCCTCTAAGATCCCAGGTTCCTTAAGAATCCTTGCCTACTGAAAAGCGTAACAATAAATCTTTGCCACCTTGACTTAAAGAATGCTTGAGTCTGTGAATTCATTCCAGACGACCCGGTCCTGTACTTCAGTCTTTGAGGGGTCTCAACCTCTCAGACCACAATATACCCTCTTCAGAAATTCTCTATTTCTGTCAATGGCACAACCAACATTCCAAGACAAGTCAATAAGCATTTGTTAAGTGCCTACTACATTCCAGGCACTGTCTTAAGTACTGGGGACCAGTCCCTGATCTCAAGGAGCTCACAGTATAATAGGGGAGATAATACGCAGACAACTACATACAAGATAAGCTGTATGTACAAACAAGCTACATAGAGGATAAAATGGAGATGATCTCAGAGAGAATATATTAGGATTAAGAAGAACTGGGAAAGATGGAACTTTGGCTGAGACATGAAAGAAGCCCAGAAAGCCAGTCACCCAGGTTCTAAATGTGAGTGTCATCCTCTACTCTAAACTCTCATTTATCACTCCCCCCATCCAATCAGTTGCTAAATTTTATCTTTCTTTCTCCATAACATCTTTCCCATCTCTCTCTTTCTCTCTACTCAGACACCACCCTAGTTGAGGCAGCTAGGAGGTACAAGGGAAAACATGTTGGACTTGGGATCAGGTAGACCTGAATTCAAATCTTGTCTCAGATACTTACCAGCTATTGGGTAAAGCACTTAACCTCTATCTGCCTCAGTTTCCTCATCTGTAAGATGGAGATAATAACATACCTTACAGGGTTATTGTGAGGATCAAATGAGATATTTGTGGAGAGTTTTGGAAACCTTTATAAATGCTAACTATAATTATTATTACTAGGTCTTCATCACTCCACTGCCCTGGACCATCGCAATGGCCTCCTAACTGGTCTCCCTGCCTCCAGTTTCTTCCTTCTCCCACCCATCCTTCACAAAGCTGACAAAGTGATTTTTCAAACTAAGGTGCTGGTTTGATCATGTGTTCCCTCCTTCTCAATAAACTCCAGTGGATCCCTGTTACCTCTAGGATTAAATTTAAATTCTGTTTGGCATCTCAAGCCCCCTCACAACCCAACTCTAACCTCTCTCTCCAGCTTTTTACATATAAATCTTCTTCACGACCTTACGGTCCAGGCCGACTGTTTGGCACTCCATCTGCTCCCTACCTGGACAGCCTGCCTCTCAGAACCCCTGGCTACCTTTGAGTACCACATTCTAAGAAGATTTTCCCGACATCATCCCTGCCCCCATGACCCCGGCCCCCCAAGATCCCCCGAGGAGGAGCTAGCGCCCTTCTCCCCAGTTACTACCTTGTATCTATTGGATATCTACCTGCTTATGTAAATGTTGTCTCAAGAGGATGGAATGTAAGCTCCTTGAGGGCAGGGATTGTTTGTCTTTAGTCCCACTAAAGCCGGTTCAGCAGGCACTTCACAAGCGCGCTGCTGGGTGGATGGTTCCGAGCTCTCAGCGTCTTCCGCCTTCCTCGTCTCCTAGCAACCGAGGCGCCTCGGGGCGCTTCCGCCTTTCCCCTGACGTCACTTCCGCAGCGTCCCGGAAGTGACGTCTAACCGGTCGGTTTCCCCGCGGGCTGCGGGTCCTAGCGCAGCCGCTGGGGAGCCGGGGGTGGGAGGTGCCGGGGCGTCCGTGGGCCGGACCCCGCGAAAGTCCGTCCGTCCGTCCCACCGTCCGGGGCTCCGGCCGCACGCAGCGAGGTGGGCTTGGTGGAGGCCGGTCCCGGGGCGAGATGGGGCCGGTGGGCTGGGCCGGGCCCGGTGCAGGGGGGATGGTCCCTCTGTCCCCCTCCCCAACTCCCTCCTCCGGGCCCCGCCTCCGGGGGGAAAGATTTCCCCCCCTCGCTTTGGACGGCCCCTCCCCCAAGGCCTCCCCACCCCAGGGCAGGTCCTACCGCCCCCCCAAACTCCCAGGACAGGTTCTTACCCCTGTCCCCTTCCCCCCAAGCTGGGCTGTCACCCAGCTGGTCAGTCCACGCCCCCACTGGTTCCCTCCCCTCAGCCCCCCAGGCCTGCTTCTCCCTTCAATCGCTAGGATTTCCTCCAGCAACCCTTCCAGGGCTGTTCCCCTCTCCATCTCCTTCCCCTTCCCATCACCCCCTCCCCTCCCCCCACCTCCCCATTCTTCCCCGCTCCCACCTTTCAGGGCTCTTCCCCTTCCCCCTCAACTCAGGTCCTGGAGGATGGTCTCCCGGCAGGGGTGGGGAACCTGGGGCCTTCTAGGTCCTCAAGTGGCCCTTTGAATCCAAACTTCACAGAACAAATCCCCCTTAATAAACAGCCACAGGTGGCCTCGAGGCCGCAGGTCCCCCACCCCTGCCCTAGCCCTTGATACACTGGCATCTTAATTTCCTGAGAATCTGCTCCTCTTTCTCGGCTCTTCAGAACTGGGAAGTTTAGCTCAGTTGGGAACCTGGGTCTTGTTTTGGTTTTCTTTTTTTGGGGGGTAGGAGAGCCCGAGTCAGCCACAGCAGAATCTGGCAGCAGCTGTTGGCATCGTGGTTTACTGGTTTCCTTTCGTTTTATTTTTGCTTTAGTTTTAACAGCTTTGGCCAAGATTCATCTCTGCTTCCCCCTTCTCTCCCCACTGTGGAATGGAAGCCTCATGACCTTTTATAGAGGACTTTATGGTTTACAAAGCACTTTACAAAGCTTATCTCATTTGATCTTCACATTTGATCTTCACAGCAGTCCTGTGAGGTAGGTATTGCAGCTATTATTTATCCCCATTTTGTGGTCGAAGGAAATGAGACTTGGTTAGGCGGGTCACCAGGCTTTTATTGTGCTTTCCCTGTGTCAGGGACTGTGCGAAGCGTTAGGGATACAAAGAAAGGCAAAGACAGGCCCTGCTCTCAAGGCGCTTACAGTCTAGTGGAGGAGATAACATGCAGGCAACTATGTGCAAGCTATATACAGTATAAATATGGAATAATCTGTCAACAGAGGCAAGGGACTAAGATTAAGGGGGATTGAGAAAGGCTTCTTGTAGAAAGTAGGATTTTAGTTGGGATTCAGGGAAGCCAGGAAGCAGAGCTGAGGAGGGAGAGTATTCCAGGTGTCAGGACAGCCAGTGACAAGGCACAGGCTGGAGAGATGGAGTCTTGTGTGAGGAACAGTAAGGAGACCAGGGTCATTGGATTGCCGATGGAGGGAGTGGGGTGTTAGAAGACTGGAAACCTAGGAGTGGCCAGGTTAAGGGCTTTGAATTTCAAAGGGAGGATGTTGTATTTACTACTGGAGTCATTAAGCATTTATTAAATGCCTACTATGTGCCAGGCACTGTGCTAAGCACTGGGGTTACAAACAGACAATCCATGCTCTCTCTCGAAGACCTCACAATCTGAGGGGGAACCAGCATTCAAACAACTGTGTACAAACAAGACAGATGTAGGACAAATTGGAGATAGTCCTGGAGGTTAACGGGGGAGCCTCAGAATTGATCGAATGGTGGTGTTGGGGGGGGTGTCATGGTCACAGCTGTACTTTAGGAAGATCAGTTTGACAGCTAATGGAGGGTAGATTGGAGTGGGAAAGATTTGTGGCAGAGACCAACAAGTAGACTGTAGCCTAGGTGAGATGATGGGAGTCTGCATCAGGTGGTCTCACCAGGGGGCACATGAGAAATGTCACAAAGGTGGAATCACCAGGACCTGGTCACATAGTAGATGTAGGCAAGGAGTCAGGGGTGACGTCCAGGTTTCGAGCCAGGATGACTGGGGGGCTGGTGGTGCCCTTGACAGTAGTGGGGGAGTTTGGAGGATGGGGGAGGTTATAGAGGAAGGATAATGAGTTCAGTTCTGGAGTTTAAGATATCTGTGTGACATCCAGTTCCAGACGTTGGCTATATCTTAGCCTCAGGTCCAGTTGTTGCTGATTTAATTGGCTACCATTAGCTCGTAAAGTCTCAGAACTCAGGTGTTCTGAATCGAAATCCAGCACATTCTCTAATACACCAAGTGTTTTGACGCACATTAAGAAGAGCTATGCGAGAATGTCACTCAAATTCTGTAGTTAGGTCTAGCACAGGGGTGGGGAACCTGTGGCCCTCTGGGTCCTCAGGTTTGGCCTTTTGAGTGAATCCAAACTTCACAGAACAAATACCCTTAATAAAAGAACTTGTTATGTAAAACTTGGACTCAGTCCAAAGGCTGCACCCAAGGACCTAGAAGGCCACATGTGGCCTCAGGCTCCCCACCCCTGGTCTAGGATAATAGATAGGATTGTAGTTGTAGTGGTAGCAGAAACTTAGTGGTCTAGTTCAAACCCTTCATTTTACAGGTGAAGAAACTGACAGCGGAAGTGATATACCCATGGTCATATAGGCATTTAGTGAATTGAAACCAGGTTTTGTGACTCCCAATCTCACTGTACTGGGCTAAGATAACTAGCCTTTTTTGTCCTGCCTTTGTGGCAGTTCAGCTGACTACTTGTATAAAATGAGGAAGTGTGTTATTATTGTGTATTTTTCTTTTTTTCCCCCCTCTAGGGGTAGGGTGTTGCTTCTTTTTTATGCCTGGCCATGGCAATGAGCTTATGATAGATGCTAAGTAAATATTATTTGAGTTGAGTTTTTTTAAATCAAGAAATGTAAATTCTTAACATTTTCAGCTTACTGCTTAGATGGCACATGTCACTTTATTTTCCCGGGTAGCTAGATCTTCGTGTCGGACCATTTTCAAATAACACCATCCTGAATATAGAGAATAACTTGAGGTCCTGCCAGTCTCAGTGAAAGCATTTAGTCCATTTATCTCTTAAAATAGAGGGAGGAGGGGGCACATAAAGGAATGTGATTGTCTCCTGTGCCATCTTTTTCATCTGTCTTTTTTTGTAGGTATCATATCTTAACGATATTGACGGAGATTCTGTCATTATGGGAAACCAGCTGGCTGGCATCGCCCCCTCCCAGATCCTTTCTGTGGACAGCTATTTTTCAGACATCCATGATTTTGAATATGACAAAAGCCTTGGGAGTACTCGGTTTTTTAAAGTTGCTCGAGCCAAGCACAGAGAAGGTTTGGTGGTGGTGAAGGTCTTTGCAATTCAGGATCCAACATTACCTTTAACTAGCTATAAACAGGAACTGGAAGAGCTGAAAATAAGGCTTAATTCAGCCCAGAACTGTTTGCCCTTCCAGAGGGCCACAGAAAAAACATCTGAAAAAGCAGCTCTGCTCTTCAGGCAGTACGTCCGAGACAACCTCTATGATCGAATCAGTACCCGTCCATTCTTAAATAATATTGAAAAGCGGTGGATTGCTTTCCAGATCTTGACTGCTGTGGACCAAGCTCACAAGTCTGGGGTCCGGCATGGGGACATCAAAACTGAAAATGTCATGGTAACCAGTTGGAATTGGGTTCTTCTAACAGACTTTGCCAGTTTTAAACCTACTTATCTTCCAGAAGACAACCCTGCCGATTTCAACTATTTTTTTGACACATCGCGGAGGAGAACTTGCTATATAGCTCCGGAGCGCTTTGTTGATGGTGGCATGTTTGCCACCGAGTTAGAGTGCATGAAAGATCCTTCCACCCCCTTAGTGGACTTGACGAACAGCAACCAGAGGACGAGAGGGGAGCTGAAGCGTGCCATGGACATCTTTTCAGCAGGTATGTATCTGAGTTGCTGAAATATGCTTAAGTGAATGATACTTCTTCTCCCCCCCCCCATTGCAATGATGACTTGCATTGCTTTAATTAATTAAATCTTGAGAAATTAATTGGCATGACAACACTCTTGCCAATAGATGCCATTGGTATTAATAGCTTGCATTTCTATGGCACTTTAAGGTTTGCCAAGAGCTTCACAACAACCTGGGGAAGAGGTATTATTGTCCTCATTTTATAAGTGAGGAAACTGAGACAGAGAGAAGTTAAGTGACTTTGCGAGAGTCACACAGCTAGTAAATATCTGAGGCAGGATTTGAACTCTGGTCTTTTTGACTCCAAATCCAGCACTCGATGCATTTATGTGAAGTCGCTCTATTTTTACCAGAAGTTTTTAGACAAAAATGCCTGTATTTGTTTGTTTTTTTGTTTTATTTAGGTCTTTCCATAAGTTTACGTATTACATATGAATTTAATCTATTTGAGTTCTTTATCCTAAAGAAGTTGAAGTCAGTTTTAAACAAGTTAGGAAATTTATTAAGATTATAGTGCATTTGTGCATCCCATGAATGTATTTATAGAGCTCATGCCCACAGCTCCTTTTTGGAATTGGGTATAGAGTGATTTAAGTATTATTAGTCGGGATCCTTATGCCTGGTCCGGCCCACTCTAGTGTCCCTGATAGCGACACCTGAGGATATTTGGGAAGGTCGTACACTATCATATTAACTTCCTAAGTTCATCTATCTTGTGGTGACGTTTTGGTTTTTCTTAATCTCCTATAGATTTCTGACTAGTGTATTTATGTGAATTCTTTTTGAGCCTTTCTATAGTTTTTAGTCTGTCTCATTTCTCTCACTTCTTGGGGGATGGGTAGCGGCATAATGGATTCCACTTGTAGAAATAATACCTTTCAAAATTCTTTCCAGAATTAATCATTTTTAATTTTCAAGAGGTCCTTCCTAAATCTAGCATTCCATTATTTCATTGACTTCCTTTTGTAGACATTATTGATGGGGTGTGGGCCCAAGCCAAGACCTTTGCCCCTTACTCCTAAAAGAATTTGGGTCCCATTTGTCTAAGGGATTCTCCTTGAATTCTCCCACTTGATCAAGGAGGTCTCTGGAGTTCCCCTGAGGCCATATTTCCATCAATTGGCCTTTCCTTGTCTCTAAACCCAATCTCCCGATTCTGTTACCCTTGACCTAGCCTAGCCCTCCATTGTCTTACCTCCCTGTGGCCCCAGGCCACTTCCCACCCTTTATCTTATCTGGGCTCCATTCTCCCTAGGCCAAGTGGTTCAGGTCCCTGGAGTTCTATTACCTCATAGACTACTTGGCCACTCCTAGATCTCTCCCATAGTCTTTCTGTTTATAAGGTCCATCTTGTCTCCATTAAGATGCTCTGATTCTTAATATCTAGCCACTGCTCAGATTTTTACAATCTAGCCAATATCTCACAGGTGCTCAGATTCCTTAAGAGTCTGCCCAATATGATGGGTGTTCTAATAAACCTTGTCTTTGGATGAAAGAAGGGTTGGGTTGAATTTTTTCGGGTAGGAACTGCATGTCTTGATTTTGGGGTCCCAGCACCCCTGAACCTCTAGACCCCCATCAGTTATTTCATAGTCACCTCCTTTCCTAGGCTTCCATTTTCTTTCACTCTGTGTGGGCCTACATTGTTTGGCTTGTGTCATACAGCATTTCTGCCATCTTCTTGAAAGAGATCAGTAATTCAGATGTTTTGAATCTGGCTTCTCTAAATACTTAAGCATTTTGGAAGTTGAGTGCCATTTTCTTAGGTTGTCAGTTCATTTTAATGGCTTCTCTCTGCTGATTTGAGGCAGTTATTTGTATCCTTCTGGCTCTCATTCAAGAAACGTATGTCCCAAACTTTGTGAGTGGCTGGCAATCCTGAAAGAGCATAGAGAAGACTGATAGATTCCATAAAGTAAATATAAATTCTTTCTTCAGACTTCTCCCTTTGCACACAACAACAAAACTCCCCAGTAAACCAACCCCTCAAAACCGACACTGCATAGATGGGAACAAAGCACTTGGGGACTGCCATTCTGTGAACAGAAGCCACTAGATAGAATGAAAGGCTATTTTTAAGGCCTCCTTTAAGCCTGTTTGAGTGCATATTGTGATTTAAGGAAACATCCTTGCCTGCTTGGGAACATGGGTCACTTTGCAATTCTTGGCTTGTTGGGTCTTGCACAATTTTGAGGTGAGTAGCACGCACTGCTGCCTTATCAGCAGTCCTTCCTTGATGGAAGGTCTCCTGTTACCTGGCTCAATTGATTAACTTAAGACAGTTTTTTTTTTAAGTGTAACAGGAGGAAAGCAGTTTTCCTAGATTCCTGGTCTCTCTCCTTACAGTGGGAGAAAGGATTAATGAGACTTTGTGCATTTTTGGTCCTAGGTTGAGGATTGTAAGGGATCCTAGATCAATTTAGGCACTCCCCTTATTTTATAAATGAACAAATTGCCCAATTCAGTGAACTAATATTTACACAGGGACTGTGTGTACCAGAACTGGGTTCTAAACTTGGGTTCTTTGGCTCCAAATGTAAGGTTCTTTTCACTGTACTACACTGCCTATGAACCTTTGAAAATCAGGTTTCTTCCCATTTGTCAGCACTGTACGGTTCGGTATTACTTGTGGACTTTGGGACAGTCGTAAACCCTCTTGGAGCTTCCGTTTACTTAACTGTAAAATGGGGACAATAGTACCTATTTGTGTCTTTTTGTGACCGTGAAATAGAGTAATGGATGTAAGATGCCATCTCTGTAAACCTCAGCTCTTAATATCATCAGTAGTAATTCATTTCACTTACTTTGTATTTGAGTTCTAGGAATTTGTTGAATTGTTTACTCTGTGTGGATAAAATGTGTTGGATTTAGTTTCTGTTGTATGTCTTTTGCTGTAGAGGTTACATCTTATGTTTTCCAGGTTGTGTGATAGCTGAGCTATTTACTGAAGGGGTCCCACTGTTTGACTTATCCCAGCTTTTGGCTTATAGAAATGGACATTTTTTCCCTGAACAAGTGCTAAACAAAATTGAAGACCGCAGCATCAGAGAATTGGTAAGTGTGGTTAGCTAGAAATTGGAAGTCTGTGATAAGTATGTTGTAGAAAGACATCTTAAAATTCTTGTTATAGTGATAGCGCATTAACCTGGTAATCAGACACCTGATGTTGTCATTTGTCTGGAACGGTCTAAACCTGGAATTGGGTAAAAAAGCCTCTGAGCCGCAGTGAGTTGGCATTTACTGTGTGGAAGCTGACTGAAGCCTTCTCTTTTTCGTCTTAGTCCCTGAGCCTGTTTGACTGAATTTCTCACACAATACTTGTTTACCTGGATTCCCTTGGTATCCTTCAGTTCCTCCCTGAGTTACAATCAATGAGGAAAAGGAGAGAAGAAATACAGGAAATGAGGCATGGACACAGACACCACCCCTTGTTCCTTAGTCTTAAAAGCTAAGAGAGAACAGAAGTAGGCATGAGAGGATACCAGTTAACAGAATACAGCATTTCCCCATTCTGGGACCATCCAGTGGGTTGAAGAGACAGAACCACTAACAGAGAATTTAGTCAAAAGAGAAGTCACTATTTCATTCAGCCTGAGGGAATGATAATAACAATGTAGTGCTGTGCATTTCTGTGTCACCTACCTTGTGCCAGGCGCTTTACAAATACTGGTTCATTTGATTCTCACGAGAACCTGGAGAGGTAGGTGCTGTTGTTATCCCCATTTTCATCTTGCTGAGTTTTTGACCTCCCAGTCATCTATGGGTGGTCCAGTGAGATCCAGGTGGCAATTTGGATGACTCATTTATCATTGATGTGTATTAATCAGTGTACTCTCCAGCACACAGCCTTCTGTCGGTGACTCAAGGTCCCTGTGGTATCACTTGCACTGTTCTCTGGGCCTGTGGTGTGCTCCAGGCCTGTTGATGTGGGCAGGGGGACATTAGCTTAGACTTCCCCCCAGCTGCTGCATTGCTCTGAGGATACTTGATTATGGATTTCCATCATAGAGTTGCAAAGTTGCTTATGCTATTTGTTATCTTAGTTTTCTTAGGACTTTTAACTTCCTGTCTCTTTGATTCCCTTTGATTCATTCATGCTCGGTGCAGGTGACCCAGATGATCCATTGTGAGCCTGATAAACGTTTAGAGGCAGAAGATTACTTAAAGCAGCAGCGCGGCAATGCTTTCCCTGAAATATTTTACACGTTCCTCCAGCCTTACATGGCCCAGTTTGCTAAGGAGACCTTCCTCTCTGCTGATGAGCGTATCCTGGTCATAAGGAAGGATTTGGATAACATCGTCCACAATCTGTGTGGTCACGATCGAACCGAAAAAGCTGAGGGCGAGACGAAGGAGAATGGGCTGGTGATTTTGGTGTCTGTCATAACTTCCTGTCTTCAGACCCTCAAGTCCTGTGACTCCAAGCTGGCTGCTTTGGAGCTCATCCTTCACTTGGCCCCAAGGTTAAGTGTGGAAATCCTTCTGGATCGCATTACGCCGTATCTTCTGCATTTTAGCAATGACTCTGTGCCTAGGGTGAGGGCAGAAGCTGTGAGGACACTCACCAAGGTTCTGGCTCTTGTCAAAGAGGTGCCCCGCAATGATATCAATATCTATCCAGAGTACATTTTGCCAGGAATAGCACATTTGGCTCAAGACGAAGCGACTATCGTCAGGCTGGCTTACGCCGGTAGGTTTGTCCTCTATTAATGATTTTATAATCATTTTTCTAAGTTAGTGACTGTAACTCTTACACAAGTCTCTTCAATTTTAGTGGGAATTAATTTTGACATATAACATTAAGGTCATGTATATTAAAAAGGAGTTTTGAGATTATGTTACTAGGTTACAACTCTAATGACTTCTGTGTGTCTTTATGCTCTTGACATTTTTCAGAAGTAGCCAGTGGTGATTACATAAAACAGATTCTTATAATTTCATTGCTAATGAAAAACTGACGACTGGATTTGAGTAGCTTGAAATGAGAATTAATGGCTCCCCACTAACATGCAGTAACATTCTAATACATCAGAATGGTATAGAGGTGAGCCAGAGTTCACTGTGGCCCTTCTCATGGAGTGTCCACCCTAACAGGTCCTGCCAAGCTGGAAGGCTTTGACTACGTGGACCTTTGGGTGAGGAGAGGCCTAGTGAAGTCTGGAGGAGTGCATTAACAGGGTGGCTGCACAGTGATGAGTTTATCAGTCGTAGCATCTTGACATAGACCATCTACTGATTGGTAGAGGGGTTGGGATGTGTTCTAGAGGGAGCCATAGAAACTCCCTGTGAAATCATGAGTCTTTAGAGTTCTGTAGTAGAGAACCTTTGGGAACCTCCTAGTGTCTTGGGGTTCTCAGTGTCCCTACTAGAGCAATTTAGCTTGACTGAGATTGGAGCTCCTGGACATGGCTTCTTTTTTCTGGCTGTTTGATGATGAGTAAATGCACTTTGTTGGTTTCCTGGCCTCAGTGGAGGCTCACTTAGCCCCACTTTTACTTGAATGATTAACTGTTCATCTCACCCTAAAAACAAACTCACCATAAACGCTGGAAACATTCATTTCAGCATGAAGGATTTCTTAGCAACACAAAACTAATCATATGTGTCTGTCTGATAATCTGGCAGATGTAAAAGAGTGTGTTTAATCCTCTGGTTAGTATGTACACAGTGAGTGTGGTATTGTTGTTGTTTGAAAAGGATTTGCCAATGTGAATTGTGCTGTGTTACGTGCTGTTGCTGCTGTGTGAGATTCTGGGGCATGCCTCCCAGCAGGGTCTTTTTCAGGCTTTTTCTTGCCTGTGATGAGTTGGCCACCTGTGACTGCTGCCAGATAAATGGCAGTGCTGCTTTCTGTGTGTGAAGCCCAGCAGACGCTGTAGTTTGGGGTGGATGGCTTTAGGACCTAAATAAGAACCCACAGATATACCGACTAACCTTTATTAGTTACATATTTATGTAATATAGGATTAGTTGAAGTAGGTAAACAAATTAACTGATTTACTTATCAAACGTAACTTATATTATGGTAAACCAAATAATACCAAGCAGAGCAAAGACAGATCCCCAAAGGTCCATGTCAAAGACATCTGGCCACAACCAGGAAACCCAAGAAACAGAACAAGTACAGTCATTGTAGTGTGCACACAGGAGCCTGCATTACTGGCCCGTATGGCATTGGCCCCAGAAAGTCCATTGGCCCTGCCAAGGCCTGCTGACTGTGGAACGACTTTGAAGACTTCGGAGTTTTCAGTTAAAACGTATTCCCCGTGTTAATTGTGTCAGCAGTACTTGAGCTTGTTATGTAGCATGGTACAACAGCTGATACTCATTACAACCCTTAGCTTTTACCACAAAAATAAATACATGGTATTCAATACCTGCGGTTTACTAAGTCACGGAAATGTGTAGTGCTTTTTAGTTCTATCCAGAAGCTAAAATGGAAGCGCTCAACCTCAAGTGAGCTTGGAAAATGCATCCTCCTCCAGTGATGTCAGGTCAGTGAGGTCCAGCCAGTAGTGGTTAAAGTGGGAAGCAAGTAAAGTGTGAACTGCTAATTTAGTGATACCACCTTTAATAACCTAGTGACTTTCTGTTTAATCAAGATATTGTTCATCAGGTAAGCCCATGCAAAGGGGATGCTCTTAGGCAAGAAAAAGCATTACTTTTACCTAATATCATTATTTTGTTTTGAGAAAATATGACTTTGGGTGAAAAGCCATGGCAAGGGGCAGCTCTTCCCATGTTGTTGTTTGTCCCTTGTTTTCAAAGAGGACCATGATGTCAGGGAGGTGAGGCCATGACATGTAAGTGAATTGGATTTAAATGAAAGAAGCCTGTGTAAAGTCACAGCCTCGCTTTCTCCTCCAGAGCCATCTGGGTCTAGTGGCCAGATACAGTAGATACATGTGGCAGTGGTATCATAAATGAAAGAGTCTTGTCCGGACACCTCTGTCTAGATGATCCTAAGTGCTGACGTTCGTGGTGCCGGAGCGGGCAGGGTGGAGCTGGTACGCTAACAGGCCTTTGGGGAGAACTGACAAGTCCTTATGTGACCTCTGACATTTCTAATCCATGAAATGAGGTAGGGGTAGATAAGGGTCCAAGAGTCCCCTGATTGCTGGGAGGAGGGATAAGCAGCTCTAGCTCTTTCCTCCCTACTTCTCTTCTTAGCTAAGATCTGACCAGAGATGGTGGTTCTCCTTGGAGAGTCTGTGAAGGTACTTAAGCCTGCAGAGGAACAGATTGGGTGCCAGGGCTGAGCTGTTGATGGGGCCTTATGTGGAGCAGAGCAGACTTTAGGGTGGCACCCAATATGATGTGTTAATGCAAGCTTTATTGATAACGTTGTTTGTGGTAGCTTTTTGGAGTATGTACATATAGCAGTTGGGGTTAGGTTAAGAAGGGATATAGCATTCTAAGGTTCATAGTTTTGAAAATAACTCAATTGTATATTATGAGGTTGGGTAATTGGAAGTTTGACTAACGCAGGTATTTTGAGAATGCATTACGAAACTTGAACATTTTTCTTAGTTATAAGGCTTAGGATTTTTTGGAAGGGATGACGGGGTGGTACAGAAAGAAAAGTACTCAGATGTAAGAGTATATTAATAAAGATTATTGTTTTCTCATTGTTCTTCTTCATCTTGTAGAAAACATAGCATTACTGGCAGAAACAGCTCTGAGATTCCTGGAGTTGGTACAGCTGAAAAATCTCAATATGGAAAATGACCCGAATAGTGAAGAATTAGATGAAGTGACACATCCCAGTGAAAATTATGACACAGGTAACATGCCTTTCACTTTCTCATTGCCTTTGCTTTTGGAGTGGTTCGGTAATAGAAGCTCCTCTGTGTTCTGGGCCAACCAAGTCAGGCCTGGCCAGGGTGAGGAAAGTCAGAAACAAGGCTGGGAAGTGAACACACTCTCTCCTTTGCTCTCTTCCAGTTAGACTATGACCAAACTTTGACTATGCTCAGTAATGTCACGTTCAGATTCTAATTTTTACATATCTTCAATATGTGTGTGTATGTATACACATATGTACACACACACACACACACACACACACACACACATTTTTCTTTCCATGGAAATTTTAATTGTGTCAACATTTCTTTCATCTTTAAACCTGCGTGAGTTAACAGTAGCTGAGAAATCCTAACTTTGGTCCCCTTACCTAAGTGTATTGTGATGGTCTTAAGTTGTAAATAATGAAGCCTTCCTCTTCTGGCTTCTCTGGGAACTTCCTTTTCAGAGCAGACTTTTTCTCTGTGCAGTAACTATTATAGGGCTCCCTGTGGTCTAGAATCCTGCTTTTGCCTCCTAGCATGCTTCATAGCATTTAAGCACTTAAGTAGAGTAGACGCTCTCTAAATATCAAATGAATGAAAGGATTCAGAATCACCCAAAGAAATGTAGACTTCTAGAGTGTGGAGCTTGAGAGGACTTTAGAGGTCACCTGATCTAATCCCTCATTTTACAGATGAGGAAACTGAGGCCCAGTGGAGGTTAAATGATGTATACAAGACCATACAGACAATAGAGCCACCCATTAATGACCAGAAGGGGTCCTTGTGACTCCAGGTCCAGTGATCTTTGAACTAGATTAAGGGCTAGATGAATAATAGAGTCCTGAATTGTGTGATTGCATAAGGCTTTTTTATGAGACAGTGTGGAATTACTATTACTTTGGGAATAAATGAAAGGCTGTAGGTAGAAAATTGATGAATCAGCAAGCATATATAAAGTGTTGATTAAGTGTCAAGCACTGTGCTGGGTCCTGCGAATACGAATAACAAGACAGTTCACCCTTCTGATACAGCTTCCATTCTATTGAGGACGACACGTGCATATTTAAATAGCTGTGAATATATACAGAATATACTATCATAGATACACTGTCACATACAATAGTTGGGAGAAAGAGAGCTGTAGTAGTGGAGGATGGGATCAGGAAAAGCTTTCAGTAGAAGGGAGGTCTTAAACTTGGTGTTGAAGGAGGACAGGAATTCGGTGAGGCAGAGCTGAGGAGAGCGGACATTCCAGCCACGAGGGACAGAAGCTTGGAGACAGAGAGAGTGTGAGTGTGTCTGAATGACTGTACGTCTTGGTGCGTGTGTATGTGTAGCAGAAAAGACTGGTTGGGGACAGGTTGTGAAGAGCTTTAGACACTAAATGGAGGAGTTTAAATGCATCTGATTCCAGAGGCCATGGGTATTTACTGGAATTGATTGAGAAGGGAGTAGCATGGTCAGATCTGCACTTCAGACAAATCACTTTGGCTGCTAGGTGGAGGACGGATTGAAGTATGGAGTGACTTGTGGCAGCAAGACTGATTGAAAGGGGATTGCAGTAGTCTGGGCAAGAGGAATTGAGGGCCCAGACCAGTGTGGTAGAGGGTTGTCCCGGGGGTAGGAATGGCAAGACACGGCAATTGTTTTGATAGGTGGAGAGTGCATGAGGGTCAGAGAGCTGAGGATGATGCTGAGATTGGTAACCTGGGTGATTGCAGAAAGAATGAGTTCTGTTTTAAGCATTTTGCTTGGAGAGGTCTCTGGGACATCCAGTATGAAATGTCTAAAAGGCGGCTGGTGATGCAGAACTAAAAGTCAGGAGAGAAATTGGGGATGGATGTCCAGATCTGTGAATTATCTACATAGAGATGATTATTTAATCCTTAGGAGCTGATGGAGGTCATAGAGGAAGAGTACAGAGAGAGAAGAGGGCCTAGGATGAAATTTTAGGGAACACCCAGAGTTACAGAGCATGAAATGGAGGCTAAGCTGGTAATGGAAAGGTCAGACAGAACCTGAAAGAGTAGAGAGAGAAATCTGGAGAGCAGAAAATGTCTAGGAGAAGAAAATGGTCATCAGTGTCAAATGCAGTACAGAAGTCAAGAAGGATGAGGCCTAGTAAAAGACTATTGGATTTGGCAGTGAAGAAATGGTTGTTGAGTGATGAGGTCAGAATCTTAGTTGCAAAGAGTTGAGGAATGAGTGAAAGAGAAGGAGGTGGAGGTAAGCATAGGCAGCTTTTTCTAGGAGTGGTTGAGAATTGAGGAGTGATGCAGGATGACAGATTGAGGAGATAGTATGGTCTAGTGAAGATTTTTTAAGAACAGGGAAGATTTGGGCACGTTTGAAGGCAGTTAAGGAGGAATTCGTTAATAGGGAGACATTGATTCCAGTAGCTGGAGTTGGGAAGATTGAGGGTGTAGTCTGCTGGAGAAGTCATGAGAGAATGGGATTGATTGCGCATGTAGGCGGTTTGGCCTTGGCAAGGAGAAGGGTCAGCGACTCGGGGGGACAGGAGGAGGGAGTAAGAGATGATGTCAGGGGTTTAAGATGAAGAGAGCGGGCATCTTGAATGTCCAGTAAAGGGGCAGGATGCTCAACTGAGAGGGAGGGGGAAGGAAGCAGGGCCTTTAGGGGACATGAGGAGGAGAGAGAAGGTCTTGATTAGCATTTGTGTGGAATGAGATAGGGAAACCCCACCTTGGAGACTGGGGTACACATTGGGGGGAGTGGTGGGTGGTGATATTTTCTCCCTGGACCCGGAGTTGGGTTTGTCCTGAGCTTACCAGGTACAAGTAGCTCTCCTACTCTCTTCCAGGCTGATTGGTAGAGCGGGTTAGGGTTTGGGGGAGTCATGATCTTGAGGATCCCCTTGGGTAGCAGAGGTTCTGATTGGTGGCTAGTCCTGCGTCTGGGTTCAGTTCTGGCCTGCCTAGTGCAGGAAGCCCTGCTCTCTTCCTCTGGGATGTTGTGGAATACTAGACCTTCTCTTACTGTGACAGAAGGCCTAAGAATTAGGCCAAGACTGTATCACCACTGCTGCCTTAGTCTCCTTTGTTTGTTTGTTTGTTTTTTACTTTTTAGGGAGGCAGTCAGGGTTAAGTGACTTGCCCAGGGTCACAGAGCTAGTAAGTGTCAAGTGTGTGAGGCCAGATTTTGGGTCCTCTTTATTACTCCAAGGGTGGGGCTCTATCCACTGTGCCACCTAGCTGCCCTGGGGTTTTTTTTTTTAATTGAACTTGAACACCAAATTATTCCCCAAATTAAGCCAATATTTAATTAATTTCCTGATTGAATTAACTTATGGAAATATCCTTACCTGTATTTTCCCTTTGTTTCCCGATCCTCATAAATAGACTTTTGTCAGTTGGGATAATGATTATTTTTGCAATATTTGTTAAGTAGGATATTTTTTCATTTATCTTTTGAGGCAAAGCATTTCTGCCAACTCAGAGCTTGGGATTCTGAGAAACATTTATTATCAGAAATCAGTTAGGGAGCCAGCTGCTGGCAGTATTATAGTTTAATTTACTCTTGTTAGGTAGCAAGAGGAAAAGTTTTTATGATCCCACGAATACTGACTCCTTTTTAATCCCTTTGCAGAACTCCAAGCTTTACATGAAATGGTCCAGCAGAAAGTTGTCACCTTACTGAGCGACCCAGAGAATATTGTGAAGCAAACCCTGATGGAAAATGGAATCACACGTTTATGTGTGTTCTTTGGACGGCAGAAGGCCAATGATGTCTTATTGTCCCACATGATCACTTTCCTCAATGATAAGAATGATTGGCATCTCCGGGGTGCTTTTTTTGACAGCATTGTTGGTATGTTTTTGACTCTGCTTTTCTAATTCATCTTTAAAACGTAGTTTAATCTGTAATATTGCAGGATCAGCATTTTAGAGCTGGAAGGGACCTTAGAAACCACCAGTCCTGTCCCCTTATTTTGGAAATGAGGAAGCTGAGGCCCCAGAGAGCTTATATAGCTGTCAGCTTATATAGCCAGGTCAGCAGGCTGCTAAGTGGCAGAGCCAGGATTTCCCCCTGGATCACAGTTCTGGCTCCCCGGCCAGCTGCAACTTCTTGAAATGTGGTAATGCTGATCTGGAATCTTTTACCATCATACCTGAGGTCTGTGTGCTCATGTAGACATTTTGTCCATGTAATTCTTATTTTAAGTATGTGATGATAATGCATTTTGAAAACTGTTTTGAGGAGCACTGTGGTTTTTAAGAATCAGGGTGGCAGAGTCTCAGGAGACTTTCAGGGAGACTTTCAGACTTTCATTAAGTCTCAGGAGCCTTAGTCCGGGGTCCTGGGACTTGATTAACTTTTCAGTATAGTTGGTTTTCTTTGCAATCTCGTGCACTTTATTTTGTGTTTGAGAGCTTGATTTTAAGAAGAGGCCTCTCTCGGCTTCACCAGCCTGCCAGAGGGGCCAATGATACAACATGTAGTCAGGACCCCTGGACTAGCCCTCCTTGTGCTGGATACTTAACAAACGGAATTTGCTTCTAGGGGAACACTTTCACTTTCAATTCTGCTTTTGGACAGCTCTGATTATTAAGGCTTTTCCCCTTAAGCCATGCCTAAGTCTCCCTTCTCTCAACTTCCACCCGTTGTTTCCAGCTCTGGCCTCTGGGGCTAGGCCAGAACAGTCCCTCCACCACATGACCTCCAGATAAGCAAAGGCAGCAGCTGTCTTCCTGTTTTTCCCTGTACTTGCGTCACTCCCCCCTTAGAACTGTGACTTAGTGAGCTTTCATGGCTTCAGGTAAGTTTCAGGAAAGCTGTTTCTGACATGATGAGTGGCTGCTTTGGTCTTTGTGCCTAATCACGGAAAAGAGCACTTGCACCGTTTGTATCTGAGTATTTGGGTTTGGATTAACCTGCGTCAGAATTCCAGAAGTGCACTCGTCCGATTTCTCTGCAGGAAGCACCCTCTTCGTTTCTCTACTTCCCAGCTGTGGTTGAGTTGATAAAGCCTCCTCTATGGTTTTTTCTGCTGGATTGGCCTTCTCTGGCCTTGATTTCCCTCTTTGCTACTTAGTGTCATGTATCTGTAGCTATTAATTTTTTTGAATAATTTTTTTCCCAGTTACATATAAAACAATTTTTAACATTCATTTTTAAAAATTTTGAGTTCCAAATTATCTCCTTTGCTTCCCTCCTATACTCCTCCCTGAGAAAGTAAGCAAATTGATATAGGTTTTACAGGTGCAGTCGTGCAAGACATATTTCCACATTAGTCATGTTGTGAAAGCAGACATAGACCAAAAAAACCCCCACAAAAAAAAAAAAGAAAAATAATGTCCTTTGATCTGCATTCAGTCTCCATCAGTTCTTTCTCTGGAGGTGGACAGCATTTTTCATTTTGAATCTGTAGGAGTTGAGTTGGATCATTGTGTTACTGAGAATAGCTAAGTCATTCATAGTTGGTCATCATACTATATTGATGTTACTGTGTACAATGTTCTCCTGGTTCTGCTCACTTTACTTTGTATCAATTTGTATAAATCTTCTCCAAGTTTTTCTGAAGTCCTCCTACTCATCACTTCTTGTAGCACGATAGTGTTCCATTACCATCATGTACTTGTTCAGCCTCCCCAGTTGATGGCCATCCCCTCAATTTCCACTTCTTCACCACTACAGAAAGAGCCGCTATAAATATTTTTGTACAATTAGGTCCTTTCCCCTTTTTGGGCATCTCTCTGGAATACAGATCTAGTAGTGGTGTAGCTGAATCAATGGGTATGCAGTTTTATAGCCCTATGGACATAGTTCCAAATTGCTCTCCAGAAAGGTTGGATCAGTTCAGAACTCTATCAACGGTGCATCAGTGTCCCAATTTTCCCACATCCCCGCCAACATTTATGATTTTCTTATTCTGTCTTATTGGCTAATCTGATAAGTATGAGGTGGTACCTCACAGTTGTTTTAATTTGCATTCCTCTAATCAGCAGTGACTTAGAGCATTTTTTTCGTATGACTGTATATAGCTTTGATTTCTTCCTCTGAAAACTGCCTGTTCAAATCCTTTGACCATTTCTCAATTGAGTAATGACTTGTATTCTTATAAATTTGACTCCATTCTTTGTATATTTGAGAAATGAGGCCTTTATCAGAGGCACTTGCTGTAAAAATTTTATCCTAGCTTTCTGCTTTCCTTCTAATCTTGATTGTATTGGTTTTAAATTTAATATAATCAGAATTATATCCATTTTGCATTTCGTAATGCGATCTTGTTCGGTCATAGATTCTTCCTTTTTCATAGATTTGACAGGTAAACTATTCCTTGCTCTTCTCATTTTTTATAATATCAGCCTTTAAGTTTAAGTCATGTACCCATTTTGACCTTATCTTGGTATACAGTGTAAAATGTTGGTCTATACCTAGTTTCTGCCACATTGTTTTCCAGTTTTCTCAGCAGTTTTTGTCACATGCTGAGTTCCTGGCCCAAAAGGTTGTGTGTTTGGATTTATCAAACTCTAGTTTGTTATGGTCATTTACTACTGTGTATTGTGTACCTGATTTATTCCATTGATTCACCACTGTATTTCTTAGCCAGTACCTAATAGTTTTGATGAGTATACCGCTTTATAGTACAGTTTGAGATCTGGTATGGCTAGGCCACTTTCCTTCACATTTTTTTTTCATTAATTCCCTTGATATTCTTGACCTTTTGTTCTTCTAGATGAATTGTGTTATTTTTTCTAGTAGTTTGATTGGTATGGCACTGAATAAGTAAATTAATTTAGGTAGAATTTTAATTTTTTTATATTGGCTCAGCCTACCCATGAGCAACTGATATTTTTCCAGTTGTTTAGATCTGACTTTATTTGTGTGAAAAGTGTTTGTAATTGTGTTTATATAGTTCCTGGGTTTCTCTTGGCAGGTAGACTCTCAAGTATTTTATATTGTCTACAGTTATTTTAAAAGGAATTTCTCTTTCTATCTCTTGCTGCTGGAATTGTTGGTAATATACAGAAATGCTGATGATTTATGTAGCTTAATTTTATATCCTGCAACTTTGCTAAAGTTAGTTATTTTAACTAGTTTTTTAGTTATTTCTCTAGGATTCTTTAAGTATACCATCATATCATCTGCAAAGAGTGATTGTTTTGTTTCCTTACTGCCTATTCTAATTCCTTCAGTTTCTTCTCTTATTTCTATAGCTAGCATTTCTAGTACACTGTTGAACAATAGTGGTGATAATGGGCATCTTTGCTTCACCCCGATCTTACTGCGGAGGTTTCTGGTTTATCCTCATTTGAGATAATGCTTTCTGATAGCTTTAGATAGATACTACTTACCATTTTAAGGAAAGCTCCATTTCTTCCTATGTTCTCTAGTATTTTTAATAAGAATGGATGCTGTATTTTGTCAAAAATGCATGTATGCATATATGCGTGTGTGTATGTATACACATACATATATGGATTGCTTACATTTGGTGACCGTAGCTAGGTGGAAGTCTAAAGTCTCAGTTTCCTTCTGCCTTTGTCCTCAGTGCTGTCTTCCTTCCTGCCCAGCACTGTGTGCTCTTGACCACGGGGTAGCCCTCTGCTTCTCTTCTGGGCCCCTTTTTTGTCCATCTCCTATTCACAGTCTGGATTGTGTAGAGAACTGAAATGACATTTGCCATTGTGTAAGGCTTCAGTGAATGCAGTAAGAATAGGCAGATGTTTACAAAGCCTCCATCTAGGATGGGATTTAGCCAGAGGCCCTCATGGGTAAAGTTGGAAAATGTTTCTTTTAACTTTGAACTGTTTTCTAGCTTCACTTCTCATCTGACACCAGGAGGTATCCCTGCATTTCTAGAGCTAAAGATAGAAATATATAGACTTGTCATCTAGTCTGAGGCCTCCTTTTTATAGATGAGGAGAATGAGGAACAGAGAGGTGCAGTGACTTGCCTTTGGTTACACAGCTGGTTAGTGTTGCTTACTGGACTAGAAGAAAATATTTCATTCTTCCTTTTGCCCCCTCTTAATGAGTGGGAAGCAGTTTGGGGCCATTCTCCTATAGTCAGACTGCACAGCAGAAGCAGCTGGTGGTGACTTAGGAATTATTTTTTATTGTTGAAGAAGAAAGACACCCCCTCTTCCATACTTTGTTATTTAAAACGATGGCACCTCCCTCATTCAGGTTGCAGACTTGGAATCATCTTTGAATTTTCCCTCTTGTCTTCTCCTTATCTAGTTGGTTGTCCATACTGATTCTACAGTTCCTTGCACCTAATCAGTGATTGATAAATTTTTGGTGATTCATTCCCTTGAATGTGCCCCATTTGCTGCACTCTCTTCCAGATCCTTTTTGTGACTGTTTTGTGGTGGTGGTCTCTCCATTTACATTGTTGTAGTCCATGGGTGTGTACTTTGATTTCTTGGCTCTGTTTACTTCCCTTCAGATTCAGTCACATAAGTTTTTTCATGTTTCTCTGTATTGATTATGTCCGTCACTTCTTGCAGCACCTTGATATTCCCTTACAGTCAGGCTTTCTCCAGGCAAAGGACACCTGTTTTGTTTTCCAGTTCTTTGCTACCTCACAGAGTGCTGCTCGTAATATTTGGGTGTATGTGGGGACTACTGTGATAGACTTGTAGTGGAATCTCTGGGTTGGAGAGTGTGGACAGTGTAATTACTTTAGTTGCATAATTCCAAATTGCTTTCCAGCATGGTTGTACTGATTCATAGCTTCACCAGCACCGCATTCTGGTGCCTATCTTTGCAGTCTTATTCTCTTCCCCCAACGCTGACATTCCCGTGTTTCTTCATCTTTGCCATTTTTCTGAGTGTGAGGTGAGGTCTCAGGGTTGTTTTCATTTGTTTTTATCTTCTTATTAGTGATATGGAATATTTTTTCATGTGATTAATAGTTTGAATTCTTTTGAGAACGGTTTGTCGATATCTTTTTTCTCTTATCTATTGGGAAATGGCTTGTGGGTTTATATATTTATTAGCTGCCTAGATAACTTGGAAATTAAACTCTTGTCTGAGAAATTTGATGCAAAGATTCCCCCCCCCCCCCATTTTAACTGCTTCCCTTATCCTGGATGCATTGGTTTCTTTGTGCAGAAGCTTTTCAATTTTATGTAATCAAAATGATCAGTTTTATCTTTTAAAATTCCCTCTGTCCCTTGTTTGGTTAAGAATGGTCCTGCCCATAGCTGTGAGAGGTGTGTGATCTCTTCTCTTTGAATGTTTGTACCCCCAGTTGTAGTGCTTTCATCTTTCTCAGATGGCCTTTTGTTTGATGACCTGCACACTGTGTTCCCTGGTAGAACGTGGATTCTCACTTTTGTGTTGGTGTCCTCACCACCCAGTGCAGTATCCCACATATTAGGGCCTTACTAAGCACTTATGAAATGGAATTCTGCTAAGCCATTGTTATTTGTCTTTTGTATAGAAGTGGAGCTGAAGAATTTGCCCAGTTCTACAGGACGAATCATTGTTCTCAGAGTAAAAATAAAGGAGCTGACATTTCTTTCAGCTCACTTTTCATTTTCTGTTTGGATCTGATTGGCCATATGCTTTGAAATTTGAGATTCATAGATAAGTTCATGTTGGCATCACCGTACTGTACTTGGAAAGAAAATGGAAAGTTTTTTTGAACTTTTCCTTTGTAAGGCAATTGGCCTCGCTCTGCAGGTGATGGTCCTGGTGAGTATACGGGGGTCTGCGAAGTTGTCATCAGGTGTCAGAGCTGCTTGATCTGCTGCTCCATCCACGCTGCTGGGTGTGTGCACACAAATGGGAAACTGGAGGGTTTTGTCTGAACAAAGATTTTTGCTGTTTAATGTCTGAGGGGCTGTGAAGCTCTTCTCTGGAGAAGGTAGATGTTTCCTTATTCCCATTGTAAGATTCATTGGCATTACTTTATGATTTTCAACTTCAGTGCACTGCTATGGACTTTGATTTACTCTCCGTTTTAGCGTAGTGCATAGCATCTACATTTCAGCTGTAAAAAGAAGTGCCAGTGTCTTGGATTTTAGATGGAACAGATACACAAGTATTGGATGCTGGGGGGATGGGGGGCCCAGTGGGTAGGGTAGATACCTCGGGGCACCATCGTGCACAGAGTGACAGGCCTGGAGTCAGGAAGATCTGAGTTCACGTGTGGCCTGACACTTGCTAATTGTGTGATCCTGGGCAGGGCACTTTGCCCCTATTTGCCTTTGTTTCCCCATTTGTAAAATGGGTATAATAGTAGCCCCCTTCTCCCTGGGCTGTTGTTAGGAATGATTATAAAGCACTTAGCACAATGCCTGGCACTGAGTGAGCGCTGTGCTACGTACATGTTAGCTAGCAGCATTATTATCTTCTATTACATTTGCCGCATCATATTAATGGTGTGTGCTTTTAAAACTGAAACGTTTAAACATATTTTTTATGCCAATCAGAAGCTGGGCTGGATTACAAATGATGTTGTCAGGTCATGGAAAACTGTGAAGCTTCACGTTTTAGCTCCTGATGGTCCAGGAAAATAAATGATGTTAAAATTTCTGTGAGACTTACAGTGAAGTAGAGAGGAAAGAAAAAATAATTACTGACATTTACATCACACTTTTAAATTTCTCAAAGTGAATTATAGATGTTTATTTATCTTTAGCAACTGTATGAGTGAGGTAGAAATTCTGGTCATGTCCTCACTTTATAGGTAAGGAAACTGAGGCCCTACCTTGATAGAATGATGGTCCGTGGCACAGGCGACATTTAAGCCATGATGATGTCATGAGATTACATTATTCTGACCTTTGTCCCTTAGGCATGGCTGCTAAGGTGATGTAGAACCTCCTCCCTTTCTGCCCTGGCTACGTCCTGTCTGGTATCACGCGAATCCTTCTTTCCCACGTTCCTCTCTTCTCTTTCTCACACTTGGCTCTTCATCTCCTGTCCCTGTCACTTTGCATTGGTCATTCTCCATGCCTGGAGGGCAGGCCCTCCTCGCCTCTGTGGCATCTCTCTTTTCCTTCCGTATGTAGCCTAAGTACCACCTTTCTTGACCTCCTCAGCCCCAGCCTTCCCTCCCAGACCTCATGTTGAACTCCTTTTTTTCATCTGAATGTGTTCTTTTTATGGTGAAAGCATGATGTGGTAGACAGAGAGCAAGCCTCAGAGCCAGAGAGGACATATTGGTGGAGTGACCCTGGGGAACCTCCCTGGGCAGCTCTTTCAGACTGAAGACAGTCTGAGGGATGCCCTCAGCAGGGAGTTCACCAAACCATGATGTCCCAGGTCCAGTCTGTAGCTTCATTCTGATTCTGTTTATCTTCCGTATGTGCTTATATACACGGATCGTCCCTGCTGTTAAAGTGTGAGTTCTGTAAGAGTGGGCATTATTGTGTTCTCTCTGTACTTGTATCCTCAGCACTTAGCAAATACCATGCAGTAGCAGGCCCTTAATAAATGCTGGTTGATTGAGATTCATCATGGGCCTGAATTAAGAAATAAACCCTTTCTGGTTGGAAAGTTGGCATTATAGACTCCTGTTCTGTTCTGACTGCCCATTAGTGAGGTAGCTGGTACTCTTCCCTCCAGATCACCTCAGTGATCCCTTGCATCTGTGTTTCATTGAGGCTTCTTCTCGCATCCAAGACTCATTTCCTACCCACAGAATACTTCTCATTTCTTACCATGCTATACTTGTTGCAATTTCCCTCTAACTCGTCCTAATCTAAATTCTTAGGCTTTGTTTTCCTTAGGAATGGCCCTAGAGTTTCTCCAGCTATTGACTTAATCAGCCACACTAAATTCTCATTTCCCATTGACAGAATTCATGTTTTTACAGTAAGTGTTCAAGAACAATTTGAAATTTGGGCAATATGTTAATGCACATTTGATGTTTGAATTCTTTTGCCTCCAACTTATGGTAATCAAATTTTGTGTTGATTTCCTTGTTGTAGGAGAAAGACATAAAATCATTTATTAAAGTAGCTTCTTTTGTCTGGTTTCATTGGGCAATATGATTGGCATTCTTAATTTCATTGTTTTTTTTTTTGAATGGTGTGTAAAATGATTCTTCTCCTGAGATCTACATTCTCATTAAACATTGGTTATGTTTTTCAGGTGTTGCTGCCTATGTTGGATGGCAGAGCTCTTCTATCCTAAAGCCTCTGCTACAGCAAGGCCTCAGTGATGCTGAAGAATTTGTCATTTTTAAGGCTCTCAATGCCCTTACCTGTATGTGCCAGTTAGGACTGTTGCAAAAACCTCATATCTATGAGTTTGCTTGTGACATTGGTAAGTACTGACTGCTCACTGTCCCTTTGTGTGTGACTTGAAGGACACCTGCTAGAGATCTGTAGAAATTCCTTGGTGTTTGGAAGGATTAGCATCAGCTGCAGTTTTAAATTGTCATTTGGGATAGTTCTGTTTATGTCACCTTAGCAGAGGAATGATTTTTTTTATCCTCAACTCTTAAAGTCATTTGGGTTAGTTTCACATATGAAACCTCCTATGTTCTGAATTGTAAGCAGATCTTGGCTCGCTTAGTATTGTTTATACACCATAACAGCAGGCTTTTGGGCTACCTTATAAATTTATTGTACTTGGAAGTTCGTAAAATTGAAGTTCTAGGACTTATTTCTTCAAACAATTAAATGAGTTAATTTTATGGCCCATAAACCCACTGATCCATTTATCTCCAGCTTTTAAAATTAATTTAAAATTGATAGAATTAACACTGAATCGATGAATTTTATAAATATGTTTAACATAAAAGCATATGGAACATTTTTAGTCCCATGATCAGTGTTTTCAGATGGCAAACGATAGAGAAGTGCCAACTGGTTTTATATGGAGTGGAAAAAAAAGCAAATTGGAAAAATTGTCTAGTCAGTAAAACATTGAATTGCTTGTTTCTATTTCCTTAAGGAAAATTAATAGCCCGAACCAGGGGTGGGGAATCTGTACCCTCCAAGCCACACGTGGTCTTCTAGGTCCACAAGTGTGGTTCTTTGACTGAATCCAAACTTCCCAGAAGGATTCAGTCAGAGGGGCACACTTGAGGACCTAGAAGACCACGTATGGCCTGGATGGTATAGGTTCCCCACTCCTGGCCCCCAGACCATGAGACTTTGAGGATAAGGGTTCACCCATGGCAGTCATCGAAGAGAAGAGAGAAGGAGCTGTGGGTGTCAGTTGTTTCAGAAGTTCATAAGCAAACAGACAGTCTCAGATATGTCATATTTAAGCTATTCAGGAGAACAGACTTTTATAGAATTTTAGGATTACCTAATTTACACACGTACAGCCAAGATTTGGCCTCGCTGGAGCTATTATAAGAAGCTGCCTGAGTTTTAGGATTTGGATTTCATGTTTTCAGATTTTGTGATTCTGTGAGCGTTTATGGTGTTTGCCAATTCATTATAGATTTAGCAGCCTCCATACCACCTCAACCCCACCCTGTCTCCTGTTTGTTGCTGTTGCTAAAGGTACTCTGAGTCTCTGTTATTACAATAAGGTATTTATGGATTTGTCTATTCAGAGGAATCCTTAGCCCAGATTTACAAGTGATAAGGGTTTTCTATACATACCTAAGAGAACAAAATTGCATTTTTAGAAAAAAAGTTTGAAGTAGTACCCCAAAGGTACTCTCTTTGTCAGCAACATTAAATATAGCATCTCTTTAGTATTGACAGAAGGTGAGCCTTCACTTGTGAAACTAACAGTCTGATAGAAAGAGCATTGGATTTGGAAGTTGGGAAGTTAGGTTTAAATCACTTCTCTACCATTTATTACTACCATAATGATAATGGACATATCACTTAATCTTTCTAGGCCTCACTTTCTTCATCTGTAAAATGAAGGAATTGAAGGAGATGACTTCTAAGGTCCCTTCCAGCTCTAAATTAGAATCCTATGACTTCCCCTCCCCACTTAGTCCAAATTAGTAAGGTTTATTCTGTTTTAGTTTTTGTATAACTATATCTTTAAGTTAAGTTGGGGGGAAATTATGTTTTCTCTTAATTAATTCTGTGCATTTTTCTTGGTTGATTCTGATATTTCATCTTTTATATGTTAATTTGTATTTATTCCCCCATTAGATTGTGAACTCACTGGGAGAAAGAGATAAAGTAGAATAAAGTATACTTCAGCCATGTCATAATTACCTGGCATGGTGCCTTGCACATAGTAGGGACTTAAGAATTTTTGGATGAATTTATTGTAAGAATAGATTTTAAATTCCTGAAGGACAGGCACAGTATATATATATATCCACTTTCTCATTCTGATTTGTTTGACAGTATCTATTAATCTGAGATTTATTGTACTATAAACTTGATGTACCAAAGCCCACTAAAAAAAAATGAGTCAAGTAAACAGATGGTGAAATTGTTCCTCTGATTTTAAGTGACTTAGAGAATGCTTATTCTTCTCCTTGTTGAATGATATAAGTGACCCTGAGCTAGTGAAGACTTACCATTGGGACATTTGGTGTGTCTATCAACATATATGTAAAACAGTTTTTAATTTCACTGTTATAAATAGTTCACCAGCTAAAACTTCTTTGGATTGTTAAAGATTCGGCCCGTCAGCTGTGAAGTCTTACTTAACTTGTCTGTAGTGTTGGGGGTTATGTTTCCTCTCTTATATTGTTTGAACACGTTCCTACAGAACGGAATATGACAGCTAGCTTCATCTTGATGGACTGCATGCCTGAGGGTCATTTAGTATGTAGAAGGGCCTTAGTGAATCAGTCCATTATGTGCCATTGTTTGTTGTGAAAGATACTGATACATTTTTATTTTGGGTGGATGTGTGTTGAAACTATTCTTGAAACCGCTTTTATTCTTCTTTTCTTTCAGCACCCTTTCTGTGCCATCCCAATCTTTGGATACGCTATGGGGCAGTGGGATTTATAACGGTAGTAGCTCATCACTTGAACATTGCCGATGTCTACTGCAAGCTAATGCCTTACCTCCATCCGTTTATCACTCAGCCAATAATACAGGTATCCTTTCTATGCTTTGGAACTCTTTCCTCCTGTTTAGAGATTGTTTGTTTCTGTAGGCATTAGTATTCTTACAGTTCCTTTCAAGACAATATTGCTTTTATAGACCTGATAACTTTGGTGGTAATCAAAATTAAACTGCATCTTATATGACTTTATATGTATTACATTGAATGGAGCAGTGTTTTTCAGTCTTCATTTTCATTATGTAATATAGTAAAACATCTGTTGTTAGATGATATACGACCTAGCAAGAAAGCATATATTGATGAACCACATGCTAGTTTTCTGAGTGTTCATTGCAAGAAATGTAATTGATTTTGATTGAAATCAGCATTTATGATTAGTTGGGAAAAGTTTTTTTTTCAAAAGTTTAGTTTATAGAGGTAGAGTTAAGATGGTGTAGTGAGAAGAAGCATTTTTGCCAAACTCACCCAGTATACCTCCTTCACAAGGATCTAGAAAATGTGCCTGATTGAATTCTGATTGGGAAATCCAAGAAAAAAGTCACAGTGAGTCTTTTTTCTAACATAGCAAGATAGCCAGAGAGATCCTGAGGGCCTTGGGGGGCACTGAAGTCGGGGCAGTGACTGTGGTGGGGAGCACTGTTATGCCCAGGGACAGGAAGAGGACTGAGACAGAACACTAGGGCAGAAAGCCTAGGTGCAGAAGGAGAATCCAGAGGATCCTTGAATTGAGGCAGAGTGCAGGACCAGGTCTGGCAGCTCTGACCCATTGCCCCATTCCAGGTCACAGATTCAGGGTGAGGAAGAGCATTTGTCAGGGACTGTAGGCTTACCCTAACTGTGCTCTGATGAAGGAACAAATTCCCAGAAATGTAGCTGTGCATCTCTTAGTCCAGGTGCAGAGCAGCAGGGACTTGGTTTTACCCTTTAACCTAGTGTCAAAGCCTGCAGTAGAATAACCAGAGCAGGAGTCCTAGCCTAAAGGGGAACCCACAGTTCAGTCATTGACCCTGCAGAGCTTCCCAGTGGGCTAACGGTGACTAAGTCCAGCAGCCGTCAACTAAAACTCAACCATGCACAAGCCAACAGACCTTGGTCAGAAACTTGCAGAGTTCAGATGTGCAAGGCAGTAAACAGACCTCCCTCCAGATCATCCTGATTTGGGAGCACTGGAAACTTTTAGGCCTTCAGGCTGACCCGTGAAAGCAGCTAAAAGACAAAAAAGGACAAAAGCTTTGGCCGGACATCACCTGTCTCCTCACCCCGCTAGGTCATGCAGAACTTGGGACTAACATAAAGTCCAAAGACCTGATGGTAAAGAGTTGTTGTGGTGATAGGGAAGCTCAGGACACAGTCACAGAAGAGAATCACTTGAAAGCACCTCAAGCAAAGCCTCAAAGAAAAGTGTGGATTGGACATAAGTCCAAAAGAATTCCTACAAGGGTTAAAGAAAGGGTTTTTTAAAAAATTTAAAAATAAACTAGAGCTATAGAAGAAAGATATGAAAAGAGAGTTATACAGTTTGGTAAGAGGTATAAAATCTTTGTGAAGAAAATAAGTCCTTGAAAATTAGAATTGGCGAAGTGAAACTAATGACTTCATGAGACAATAGGAAATACTAAAATAAAGTCAAAACACTGAAAAAAAATAGAAGAAAATGTGGACTATCTTATAGGAAAAGTTTGACTTGGAAAACAGGGGAGAGATAATTTAAGAATCATTGGACTACTGAAAACCATGAATAAAAGAGCTTAGACTTCATATTTCAAGAAGTCATAAAACTGCCCAGATCTCTTAGATCCAGAAGGCAAAGTAGAAATTGAAAGAATTCATTGGTCACCTTCTTAAAGAAATCCCAAAATGAAGACTCCCAGAAATAATATGGCCAAAATCCAAAACTCCCAAGTCAAATAAAACGTACTGTAAGCAGCCAGAAAGAATGCATTCAAAAACCGTGGAATCATAGTCATTATAACACATTTAGCAGCCACCACTTTAAAATAATGGAGAGCTTGGAATGTGATATTCCAAAAGGCAAAAGATCTAGGATGACAACCAAGAATAACCCACCCAGCAGAATTAGTATATTCCTACAGAGAAGGAAGTGGGACTTTAATGAAAAAGGACTTTTAAGACTTGCTGATGAAAAAACCAGTGATAAGAGAAAATCTGACATACAAAGGACTCAAGAGAAGCATAAAAAAGGTAAATATGAGTGAGGTAGCATGAGGGACTGACTGAACAAAGTTAAAAGTATTGACATTCAATATGGGGAGATGATACATGTAACCCCTTTATCTCAACAAGGGTAATAGAGAGAGTCTAATTAGAGGGCCTGAGTGTGATTCTATTATGTTTGGATGGTCTCAGAAGAAGAACAGAAGGGTAGTGAAGAAGAATGCACTGGGAAAGCTGGGAAAAGAGATGAGTAATAGGGTGTTCAAGGAACAGTTTATACAATAGAGGGGGCAGGGATGGCAGGGTATCACTTGACCCTCACTCTCATCTGAACTGGCTGGTTAAAGGAGGGAAGAAAGTGTGTGTTGTGTGTGTGTGTGTGTGTGTGTGTGTGTGTATACACACACAGTTGAGTACAGAAATTGTTACCCAACAGGGAAGTAGGACAGAAAAGTTTAAGGGAAAAGAGGAGGGGTGTGGAATAAAAGGAAAGGTAGGTTAAAAGAAGTATTAGAAGCAAAACAGATTCTGAAAGAGGGGACAGAGGAAAAAAAAAAGGAAAGTACAATAAAATGGAGAGAAATTCATAGCAGTTACAACTGTGAATGTGGCTGCAGTGAATTCATCTACCAAATGGAAGAAGATAGCAGAATAGATAAGAAACTAGAATTAAACAGTATGCTATTTACAAGAAACACATTTGAAACAGAAAGACTTACACAGAATTAAAATAAGGGGATGTTTCCGCTAAAGTGAAAAAGGCAGGGGTAGCAGTAATGATTTTAGAAAAAGAAAAAGGAAAAGTAAATGTAATGAAAAGAGATAAACAGGGAAACTACATTTTGCTAAAAGGTATCATAGGCAGTGAATTAATATCAGTGCTGAACATATATGCACCAAATGGCATAGCATCTAAATTCTTAAAGGAAAAGAGGAGTTACAAGAGGAAACAGTAAAACTATAGTAGTGGGGGACCTCACTTTACCCCCTCAGACCTAGGTAAATCTAACCATAAAATAAACAGGAAAGAAGTTAAAGAGATGCATGTAATTTTAGAAAAGTTAGATGTGGTACACTGGGAGAATAATGAATGAGAAAGGAATATATCTCTTTCTCAGCTGTGCATAGCCCTTTCACAAAAATTGATCCTGAAACAGGGTATAAAACTTCACAAATAAATGCAGAAAACTAGAAATATTAAATCCAGCATTTTCTGAGCATAATGAAATGAAAAAAAGTACATTCAATAAAGGGCCTTTGAAGTATAGATTAAAAATTAATTGGAAACTAAATAAGTTAATCCTAAGAAATGGGTGAATAAAAGAGCAAATCATAGAGACTGTCAATAATTTCATTAAAGCTAATGCAACAATGAGAGCAAACCAAAATTTGTGCAATTCAGCCAAAGCAGTACTTGAGGAAAACATAGATCTCTGAACTTTTCCATCAGTAAAAGAGAGAACAGATCAGTGGATTGGACATACAGCTAAAAAACTAGAAAACCAACAAATGAAAAACTTCAAATTAAATAACAAAATAGAAATGCTAAGAATCAAAGGAGAGAGATTAATAATATAATTAAATAATTGAATTAATAAATAAGACTAGGAGGTTTTTTTTGGGGGGGGAGATATTGGCTAATTTGATTTAAAAAAAGTAAACTAAATTACCAGTATCAAAAATGAAAAAGTAGTTCACAACTAATGAAGAAAAAAGTAAAAGCAATTTTAGGAGCTATCACCCTACTCTATGCCAATAAAACTGACAGTCTGAATCAAATGGGTGAATATTTATAAAAATATAAATTGCCTAGATCAACAGAACAGGAAATAAAATACTTAAATAGGCCTATCTTAGAAAAAAGAAATTGAATAAGCCATGAATTAACTTCCAAAGGTAAAAGCCCAGCATCAGTTAGATTTACAAGTGAATTCTACCAAACATTAAAAAACAATTCTGATACTATAGAAACTGTTTGAGAAAATAAATAAAGAAGGTATCTTACCAAACTACTTCCATGACACAAATACAGTATTGACACATAAGCCAACAGAGAGTAAAAACAGAAAAAGGAAACTGTAGGCCAATTTCTGTAATGAATATTGATACAAAAATTTTAAATAAAATGTTAATAGGGATACTACAGCAATATATCACAGAAATTATACACTATGACCAAGTTGGATTTATACTAGGAATACAGGGCTAGTTCAATATTAAGAAAACCATAAACCTAATTGACCATATCAGTAACAAAAACAACAAAAATTAGGTGGTTAGTTCATTACGTGCCCAAAAAGCTTTTGACAAAATACAACACCCATGGGGGGGGAGGGAGGGGGAAGGGAGGAACTGTAGAATGCTACTAGAAAGTACAGAAATAAATAGAACTTCTTTAAAATGATAAGTAGTATCTTTCCTAATTCCAAAATGAAGTGTTACTTGTAATGGGAATAAGCTAGAAGCCTTTCTAGTAAGATCAGGAGTAGAGCAAAGATTTTCATTATCGTCTTTACTGTTTACCTAGAAATTCTAGGTATAGCAAGAAGAAAAGAAAAAGACATTGATAGAATGAGCATAAGAAAATGTGGTAATAAAACTATTAATTTCTGTAGATGATATGCTAGTTTACTTACAGAATTCTAGAGAATCAACTAAAAACTAATTGAAACAACTAATAACATCAGCAAAGTTGCAGGATATAAAATAAATCATCAGCACTGGTGTATATTATCAGCAAAATGCTTTAAGAGGAGATAAAGAAGTTCCATTTAAAATAACTGTGAACAGTATAAAATATTTGGGAGTCTACTTGCCAAGTCACAAATAGAAACTATATGAACAAAATTACAAAGCACTCTTAAATAATGACAGATTTGAGTAATTGGAGAAGTAATAATTGGTCTTGGGTAGGCCAAGCGATTGTAATAAAAATGACATCACTACTAAATTAGTTTATTCAATGCCATACCAGTCAAACTACTAAAGAATTACTTGATAGAGCAAGAAAAAATATTAACAATATTCGTCTGACCAAAAAGTCAGGAATATCAAAGGAATGGGAAAAAAATGAGAAAGTGGCCTAATAACACCAGATCTCAAACTGTACTTCAAACTGTAATCATCATACTGGGTAAGAAATAGAGAGGTTAATCAGTGGAACAGATCAGGTACACAATATATGAAAGCAAGGGGCACAGTAACCGAGAGTTTTGAGAAATCCAAAGATGGCAGCTATTGAACTAGGTACTGTTAGGAAAATTCTAATGTAGAGTGGCAGACACTAAATATAGATCAACCTCTCACACTACATACCAAGATAAACCCAAATTGGGTACATGATTTAGACATAAAGAATGATATCATAAGCAAATTAGTGGAACATGGAAGAAATTGACTCTTAGATCGGGGAAGAGTTTATGAACAAATGAGGTAGAGTTTTAGGAAGTAATTTTGATCACACAACATTACAAACAAAACCAGTGTAGCTAAAATTAGAAGGAAAGCAAGAAACTGGGAAAAAAATCTTTGCTTCAGGTTTCTCTGTTGATAAAAGTCTCATTTCTAAGACATATAGAGAACTGAATCAGATTTACAAGAAGAGCCATACCCCAATTGATAAATTGTCACAGGATATGAATGGACATTTTTCAGAAGAAATCCAAGCCATCAATGGTCATATTAAAAAATGCTGTAATCACTAATAGAGAAATAAAAATGTAAATAACTGAGAGGCCACTTCACACCCATCAGATTGACTGACAAAAAAGGAAAGCAACAAATGCTGGAGGGGCTGTGGGAAAATAGGTGCACAAATGCACTCTTGTTGGAGCTGTGAACTAGTCTGGCTGTTGTGGAAAACAGCCTGGAACTCTGCCCCTGAAGCTAATAAACTGTGCATGGCCCAGCACTTCCATTGCTAGGTCTTTACCCCATAGAGAGCAAGAAAGAAGGAAAGGAGGTCCAGATGTACAAAATCATTTATAGCTGCTCTTGTTTTGTGTTAGCAAAGAATTGACTCACAGTGTAGAGCAGGCTGAGTAAGTTACAGAATAAAAATGTAATGGGATACTATTGTGCTGCAAGAAATAATCTAGGGGATGGTTTCAGAAAAGTTGAGGAAGACCTGCATGATCTGATGCAAAGTGAAGTAAGCTGCTGAACCAGGAGAACAATTTATACAGTAACAGCCATATTGTGAAGATAATGCACTCTGAAAGGCTTCGCAACTCTGACCATCAGAACGACCAGCCACAGGTCCAGAGGACTCACGGTGAGATGTACTGTTGACCTCCATATAGAGGCGACTGGATAGTCAAGACGCCACCTTCCTGACGTTCCTCTTCAGGAATGAAGGACAAACGAGAGAGGCGGTAGACTCAGACTGCACATTAGAACAGATCTTCTTCCCTTTTTTCCTTTTCTTTATGCTTTTTGGATGTGGTGAAACTGGAGATCTATTTTGCATGACTATACATATTTGTAATGGGTTTTGTACTCCTTGCCTTTTCAGTTGGCGGGAGAGTTGTGGGGGAGGAGAGAGAGAATTCAGAAAATAAAATTGTGTTTAAAGTAAAATCACCAAAAAGTTTAGTGTGTTGGAATATTAGCTATTACATTGTTTCTTGATCAAATGAGGCACCTAGAAGTTTAGCACTTAGTGAGGTTTAGGTCTTTGTTGCATATATGCAGAAACCATTTACGCAGCCTGTGAGAGTTTAGACCCATCATCCAGATAAACAGCCGCTTCTCCAAACCTATTTCTAAGCGGAATGGAATGTTGCAGGCTGCTTCAGGCAGTCATGGGGTACTGCTAAGGTGATCTTGAAATGTCCTGTTCTTGCCATTTAAAACCATGTCCTCCATTTGGAAATTCACATGCCCCTGTGGATTTCCTCCCTTGCTTTTTCTCTGCCAACCCAGCTTTCTTTTTGTTGGAATAAAACCACCTCTGGAACGGGTATCTTTTGGAGTCTGAGAGTCTTTGGCTGTTCCTTCAACCATCAGTTTGTCCCGGTAGATTTGTCCATTCCTAGGAAATGTCATGTTCTTTAGAATCGTTGATTCTCTACCCCCTGAGCACTTTCTACCATGGTGTTTTTATGTGGAAGAGTATGGACACAGTAAACAGGAGCAAAGAAGTCCTTTTTAAAAAAAAAAAAGAAAAACTTTTATGGATATCTTTTGTTTTTACGTTACCTAAATTTCTCCCTATATTTTTTTCTCCTCTGAGAGCCATCCCATATAACAAAGTGTTTTTTTAAAGAAACAAAGAAGAAAAAGAAGAGAAAAACCCTAGCAATATCAGTCAATACATTGAGAAAAATCTGAAAACACAGGGTATCCCCAAAGTCTTAAGCTTTGACAGCTTAAAACTACACTGAGACTAAGAACTCAAGTTATGTGCTTGTGGACCTCCTGCCTGTAAGAGGCCTTTCTCAAAGTGGATTCGAGCTGTCTTAGAAATCAGACCTAATGTTATCTGAACCTGAACTTAGCCATGAAATTATTGCTCTCACAACTGCTCTGCTTTGCTTGGGCCTTTTCCTCTTGTTCACTGAATGCTTGCAGTGCATCAAATTGCCCAATGTCATCATAGTCATGGGGAGAGTCTTAGGAAATTAGGGAGCAGCTGCCAATGCATTTGTAATGATTTTCAGTGAAAGTTTAGTGTGGGATAAGTGGGACGTATATGTGAGTTGTTAGAAGTCAACACCTACAACTCGCTTTTTCTTCCAAGCAAAGCTCATTTTTTGGCTTTTGTTTTCATCTGTTTATGATTTGCTTTTAGCAACATTTAAGTGTGTAAGAGGAGTTTGAGAAGTCAGTGTGACTGCAGTGAGGAAGGTTCAGTTGCACATATGCGTAGTTTAATTTAATAGATTAAATAATTTGGCGGAACCCAAGGATTTCCCTCCATTTTGGAAAGCACTGACTTTGAGGGTAGCCTAGGGCATAGCTTACATTCTGGCAGATGCAGTCAGCCAGGAAAACCTGCCTTCAGTTGTTGACCGTCATTGCTGCAGGTGTGGGTGGCACTATGAATGCTTATACTACAGTGTTTGGGAATCCGGGTGTTTTTAAGTCCTGGAGGTCATGTGCTATTTAGATATAGTCTGCATAAAGACAGACCAATGGCTTATGAAAGTGTCTAGATAAAGACATTTATTAGCTGCCTTTTAGCTTTCAACCTTTATGTAGGTTCATTATGAATGTCGTTTTCTTGGGAAGAGTAATTGGCTGCTAATGAAGAAGCTTTAGCAGGAACTCTTACTCAGCTATTGAGAACTGGCATTCATTTCTCTTCTGAACTTTAAACAGTGAACAATGGGGATGTCTTAGACTTTCTTTAGGAAGAAAATAACTGCTTTTCCTTGGAGAATTTGTTTTCTTGAAGTAAGTCTTGGCTTGCTTTTTACTCTGTCATGGTCTAGGTTGATGATTTTTTCTTTTTTCCAATGCAGATTGATAAGGAAATTGTTCTCCTCAGTGTTCTCCAAGAGCCTGTGAGCCGCTCCATCTTTGATTATGCCTTGAGGTCCAAAGATATTGCTAGCCTTTTCAGACATCTGCAGATGCGGCAGAAGAAACGGAATGGCTCTCTCCCCGACTGCCCCCCACCCGAGGATCCGGCTATAGCACAGCTTCTGAAGAAATTGCTCTCACAGGTGTTATCACATTTTGAAAATTACCATTGATTAGCACAGGTTTAACCATATTGTCTGCCTTGTTTAAAAGTTTCCTTGATGGCTTATTTTTACACTGTAGTCATTAATTGCTATTTACCCACATCTTCATTGAGCCTTCCCTTGTAAAAAAGAAAAACCGTCAAGCCTATAGGCTTAACCGAACCACTGCCAGTCCCCCCTTTTACCCTAGAGCGGAGGGAAATGTCTCATTAGGTCTGTTGATTAGATTAGAGTGGGAGCAGATTGAGGTAGGGACAAACTCAATATCTTTCTCTTTTTTTTTTTTGCTTTTCCATTGTGTATTTCTACATTTATTCCATCTTCTTTGGTACACATGAATCCTGGGTACACTGATCACAGGGTAGATAGACTTCATAAAATAGGGCACTCACCAGAAAATTGCTCCAACCTTAATAAGCATCACTCAGGTGTCATTGCTGAAATTCCCATTTAGAAGGACATAAAATAATATGTGTTTTTTTTTTTAATCAGCTGCCTGTTCATTTTGTCACGTCAGGCTGCAGAGAAAAGGGCAAGAGGCAGGCAGGCTGGTCTAGCCTAACCAGTCATTTCCATTGGCTTCAGAAGTAGATAGGGTCATAATTGAAGAGGCAAGAAGAGAACCGAGGAAGAGACAGTTAAACCGGCAGGTGGAAGGGGAGGGGCAAAGGTGTGTTGTTGGCCCCTGACCGCAACCCAGACCAAGCTCCTTTTCTTTCTGCCCTTGTCCTGGTCTCTTTTCCTTCCTCCTTTGGATTATGCATCTGTGCTGGGCACTTGGACAGGTACTAGGTCTGGGAACCATCCATGACCTCTCTCTTTCCCCCCTTGCACAGTATATCCACAGCCCTTCCCTCCACCAGAAGTTCTCTGCTCCAGCAGCATCTTAGGTTAAGTGAGCTGTTAGGGGCTGGCCTTGGAACCTTTAATAATTCATTCCAAATGACCAGTGCAGCCTTTTTAAAAGTTGGAGACTGTCGGTGCTGCAGCTGTTTAGCAAGGGCTCATCATCTGAAATGCTCTTTTGGACAGAACTCAGTGCTCTTGGCGTTCGGTAGAACTTTCCTGCTCATGCTGTGTCAAGTGTAAAGAAATATTTGGCCTCACTCTTTCTCACTCCTCTTTTTAAAGGGCAAGGCTTTAGATTGACCATCTCTAGCTTTTTTAATGAATTCTTTGTTCTTAAGAAAAGTTCCAAAGTCCTTTACCCAGCATGGCTTTGGCATTTTTAGTTTAATGTTTTCCCCTGCGTTAGTCCTTGCTAGCCCTTTGACCACGTGGACTCAGCCCCACACACTCTTCCATTGCGCGTTGGCTTTTGATTTGATTCCACCAGACGAGCTACATACGTGCTCAGAATACCAAGCCGAGAACGTGCCTTAACACAAGAGAGAAAAAAGTAGAAGTTGGGTCAGGTTTTTTTCAAGAAATTGGCCAATTGAGATTTTTTGCTGAATTGTTCTGATGAAGTGAGGATTGGGTTATATAGATAAAGGCAAATTGGCTCGTGGTTTTATTTGAGCATTTGTTATTAGGCCCAAACAGATTGAGATAGTTTACTTAAAAAGTGTGTGCCCTCTGGAGTCCTGTTGGCAGTGTCCTTGCCTTCTTACAGAGGACCCTCAAGCTGCTTCTCTGTTCTAAAATAGCATTAGTAGATCACTTGAAATATCCCCATTTAACTGAGGGGTTGGGTAGTGGATTGAATATTATAGGCTTAAGCCGAGAACCGGAATAGCTGACTGCAAAACAATTGGATTTTGCTTAGCATGTTTGGGACTCTCCATCCAGGGCTTGTGTAGAGTGCGGCCGCATCTCAGGCACTGACACTTGTGTGTTATAATTGGTAGCTGAGATGTTACTCCTCCCTATTTCTTATATATATATATATTATTATTATTATTACCTCTCACAAAGCACAAGAGGAAGACTGTTCTGCAGCTTAGAGAGAGGGATTTCGAATCAGACTGGAGACCTGCGTTTTGCTCTTCATCTCTCCTTACAAAGGTTGTTTGAGCCTCTGGACCCTTATTTTCTCCTTTATCTTTATAGAGAAGGAAATGCATATTTTCCCAGCACATCAGAGGGAGTTTGGTGGATTTGTGCTACATTTTCTGTGAGTTCCTTGGAGAAAGGTGCAGTAAAAAGAAATGAAAGAAGTGGGTAGAGGCGTTTCTGTTTTTGAGAGATGGCCAGTAACACAGTTCCCGTTTTACCATCTAAACATGGAATGTGAAGAAAGAACAGCATTTATTGCAGCTATAAAAATGTCCACCTTAAACATGGGATCAATACTGTTTTAGTAGGAAAAGAAGCCAGAAGCATGTTGTTGTTTGTATAAAACAAGTGTCCCAGGTTAACATTAGGCAATCATTCATTCCAAGGTTCCCCTGGGCTTATTCTGTGACCTCTGTGGCCGTTTGATTAACATTAGTAGTTTTAAAACTGTTTAATCTTTGCTATCATTGACCATTTTAGAGGCATTAACTTTGTGATTTTTATTTTTCATGACAATTATGAAATAGAGATTATATCATAAAAATTGCTGTATTTATACTATGAAATCATAAGATTATAAACATTATAAAATTGCAAATTTCATGAGAATTATACAATTATCTATGGAGACCAAGATGTTTTAGCTCCTTTAAGTAAAGGAATGGGGCCCCATTTTGGCAAATTGGATCACAGATCAGTGGTTTTGAGAGTGAATGAAATCAGAGCTGTAAGGAGGAAAAGGTGTGGCCACATGCCCATCCCCAGAGTACAGAAGAATTGATTGATTTTGTTCAGCTTTGTGATTTATTGTTGCATGTTGAGATCAGAGGTCTGCTAAATAGAGACTGCTTTCTTCTACCAGGTATGTAGGGAGTGGAGAAGGTTCCTCTCGACTCCAAATATTGATTATTTCCTCTGTTTATCTTCTAGGCCCTGCCACTGTCTTACATATACCAAGCACTTGAAGTTCACTGAATTCAATTTGACTTGGTCTATTTTATTGCTCATTTAGCAAACACATGGACATTGTTTATAGACTGGTGGTAATTTAAGTTGTTTGACCACTGGTTTTCTGAAGAAAATAAAGCAGAACCAGGAACTGATTTGCTCCTATCCTTAGCTTACTCTTGCTGTTTTTCCTCAGAACCATGAAGACAAACATCTCAACTGGTCACTTTCTTTAGAAAAGCTGAGCTGACTTATGTATGTTTTGGCATCTTACCCATGTTCTCAGCTTGCTGAGATTTGTCCCTTGGTTGGGGGAGGGAGGAGATCCCTCTACGTATGTTGGTTCTTATGGAAACAACTTAAAAGTTCATTTATCGTTGTAGGGAATGACTGAGGAGGAAGAAGACAAGCTTTTAGCACTGAAGGACTTCATGATGAAATCCAATAAGGCTAAGGCCAATATAGTGGACCAGAGTCACCTGCATGACAGCAGCCAGAAAGGAGTCATTGACTTGGCTGCTCTTGGCATAACTGGGAGGCAAGTGGACCTTGTTAAAACCAAGCAAGAGCCAGAGGACAAGCGAGGTTGGTGCCGTCTCTGGTTTTTTGCCCAGTACATTGTTATCATTGGCAGCTTAACAGAACTGGTTTCAACAAATCAGTACTAATATAAAAAAGCCACATATGAATTCCTTAAAACTTTAATGCCCACAGAAAGTGAGATAATTTGGTTGGTCACTTCATATGGGCTGTGGGATTTCTCATCTGAAAGGCAATTCATTTCATCCTGCTTCAGGGTGGTGCTTTTGTATGGATCAGTGATTTTCTCAGATTTTCTCAGTGTTCCCTCTGCTAGTACCGATCATAGCCCATCCCCACCTTCTCATCCTTTGGGATTCATGTTCAGATTCTTATATCAGTATTTTCCAAACGACTTAGCCACTGTGTGGGATGTATGACTCTGTGTCTTTTAAGGCTTCACAGGCGCTTAGAAATGCATTTCTCCATTGCCTTTGGTTTGCCCACAGTTTTGACATTTCAGAAACTCTGGTGTAACATTACTGAGGAAATAATGTATTTTTTTAAAAGATGGATTAGTGGGGGCGCCTAGGTGGCGCAATGGATAGAGTATGGGCTCTGGAGTCAGGAGGATCCGAGTTAAAATCTGGCCTCAGACACTTGACGCTTCCTAGCTATGTGACCCCGGGCAAGTCACTTAACACTGATTGCCGCCCATGCCCCCCCCCCCTTGGTGTTGTCAGGGAGCGTGAAGAACACTAAAGGTAAATAGTGTAAAAGGAGGCAAAAGTTACTTCTCTTGTAGGTACCAAGGCCGCAGACAAAAATGAGATGGTACATTTTCTAAAGGAGTTTTCATTCTACAAGGGCCTCTGTAATCTATATATCTGTATCTATCTGTCTAAAATGTATGTGTGTATCTGTCTCTTTTATCTTTCTACCTAAAATCTATCTATGTATGTAGATATCTGTGATCTATCCATCTATCTTTTGGTCTGTTGATAAATTTAAAAAGAAAGAAACAAACCAAGATGATATGAGTGGAAGGAGAAGGTTATGCATAGGAGGGTGGACTGCAATGAACCCTTGATGGAGGCTAAGAATTGTACGAGGCTGACATGAGGGGAGAGCTCTGTCCAGGCATGAGGAGAGAGAGCCTTTGTGCAGATGGAAGACGGGACGTGGGGATGTAGAACATTTGGCAGGCCAGTTTCTTTGGAATTCAGGGAATGAGAAGTTGAATAATGTGAAATAAGACAGAAGGTTTTAAATGCATTAGTGTAAGATGTTCTTTTGCTTCAGATGCGCACCTTCTTAGAGCACTTCCCAGTTTACAAAGGACTTTCACTTTCACCCGTATTACTGATTGTTCCCCACCACAACTATCCATAATTACGATATCCATCCCTTACCAGTGTGGGACCAGACCCTGAGGTTCAGCGGACTTGCTTGGTGGCTCTGCAGTTAGCTAGCAAATAGAGCTTGGACTCCTACTCCTATCTCTGCTCTTTGAGCGTTCTTCCTATAGCGTTGTTGTCTGGCTCTAGAAATAGAAAAAGGCGGAGGGAGCAAAGGAACCGTCTCCTCCTTGAGCATTACTGAGCGGACAGAAGCCCTTGTGATGTAAAAGCTAGTTACTGTGTGATCAGGTCGAATGCTGAGGACCTGGTGTTGTCTTTGTTCTTGACTCTTTCTGCAAATGTCGCATTAGATGCCAAAGGATGCCTTCTACTTTAAATCCAAGAACAAGATTTGGAAGGCGTATGATAACAGTAGAGAGCCAGCTGCACAGATTATGCTAGTTTGTTGTGTTTTACGTTAGTACGTGGCTGTAGGGATCCCTTTCTATTTGAGTTTGACACCTGGTCCGGTCCAGCCCTCCCATCTTATATAAGAAGCCATTGTGGGAGTGACACAGCAGTCTTTTGATTGGAGCCTAGGACTTCTGAGTCCAAATCCAATGCCTCCCCCCCCCCTTTTTTTTTCTTCCCATGGGAGGTACCCGATGGAGTGGAAGGAGCGTCATGCTTGGAGTCAGGAAGACCTGAGTTATGACCCTGCCTCTGCTGCCTCCTTCTGAGTGTGTTGGCCCAGTGTCTGATATTGGGTGGGGAGTGCCCACCCTGATGGGGTCATGGCGTCATAGCTCCTGAGAGCGTAGGTGCGGGAGCTCCCATTCAGGGTGCTGTAAAATACGCAGAGCACTTTGCTTCACCACACTCGTTGGAGGTAAGGGCTACGTGAATTGGGGCCTCTGTGTTTTGTAGAAAATCACATAGATGTTTAACCGCTCGGCTCCTGACTTCCCTGAAGCAGGGCTCGGCCTTGGTCTCCCCATCCCCAGTCTAGGACTTTTCCCGCTACACAGTGCTGGTTGTCACTTAAAAAGACCTCGCTCTCCCTCTGCTGTGCTAAGGCGTCCTTGCAAGGATAGATTTCGCCCTCTTACTAGTTTGCTTTCCTGATAAGGAGTGCTAGGACCTTGATCCAAAAGGCAAGTGCTTTCTACTCTGATAAGGTCGTTTCTTGAGGCCCAGCTAGCTTTGGGAGGGAAGAGGACGGAGACAGAAGGAAGGAACCAGCGTGGCCTACAGACTGTACCAGGGCGTCTTAAACTTTTTCCGCTTGTGGCCCTTTCAGCGCTTCTTAAACTGTGAAGGGCTGGACCGGATGAGCATCCTCTCTTCCCCATCCCTAGGGCTGACTTCCGCTCTGCCCCTAGTTGGCATTGTGAGCTCTGGGAATCCACCATGGCCACTGCTCACAACTGTTCTATCTGTCTTGGCCTCCTTGGGGATCTGCTGAGAGACAATGAGTCAATTTCTAAGTAATTTTGAGATTCCAGAGAAGACACAAAACAGTATTATTGTTAAATGACATGTGTGATTAGAGTGTAGAAGCTGTTTATCAGCCTTTCATGAAGCAAGGTAGATCGCCACCTGAATGATTTCAGAGCATATGTGCTTTTAGAAATCTACATTTATACCCTGTAACAGTTCTTGGATATATTTCCACAGCCAGGAAACATGTAAAACAGGATTCAAATGTCAATGAAGAATGGAAGAGCATGTTTGGGTCGCTGGAACCAGCTCACATCCCCCAGGCCCTCCCGAAAGGACACGGGCCATCAAGTGATCAGGAAGCCACTCAGACAGGCAGACCTCTTCGTTCTGAGTCTTCGGCTGGCCTTGGCATAACCCTGTCATCTTCTCCACAGGTACTGTGAGAGCAGTCATGTGTTAGATTTCTTCCGGTTTTCTGTCTAATAAGTCAAAATTAGGCTATACTGGAACTTCACTGGGTATCATGACCTTGACTGTGTTGGCGTAGAGGACCCAGATTAAGGAGTTTGTAGGTAATTGGGAACCACGGAATGTTTTTGAGCAGTACGGTAAAATAAATAGATCTCCCCCCTCAAAAGATTCTCTTTTCAGCTTTGTGGAGGCTGATTTGAAGAGGGGAGATGGTGGAATCAGAAGGACCAGTGAGGCTGCCATTAAGGGGTGCAGAAAAGAAAGTGTGAGCAGAAAAAAGGTAGATACAAGAAAGGCTAGAGATTGTTTGGATATGGTGAGGAAGAGGAAGAAGTCACTGATAGTGCCGAGATTATGAACTAGGGGGACTGGTTCATATAGCAAGAGGTAGTTAGGAAGACCTTAGTTCAAATAACTGCCTTAGACATGTCTGTACTGTGTGACCCTGGGCAAGTTACTTAACCTCTTTTTGCTTCAACATCCTCCCCTGTGAAATGGGAGTAATAGTACCTATTTTACAGAGTTATCGTGAGGTTCAGGTGAGATAATCTTTGTAAAGTGCTTAGCGTGGTGCTGGGCACGTAGTAGGTGCCATATCAGTACTTATTCCGTTGACTTCCCATTGGGAGAATATAGCAGTACCCTCAGTTGAAACAGGCATGTCGGGAGGGATAAGGGTAGGTTTAGAGGAGGGGGAGGGGGTTGATGACTTGTGTTTTGATCATATTGCGTTTCCCGTGATGATGGCACACCCAGAGAGAGAGATCTTATAGGGCAGTTAACTGGGAATGATGAAAATCTTCATATGAACTGATGGAAGGGGAAGTGAGCAGAGCCGGGAGAGCACTGGACACAATCACAGCATTGCCAATGGCAAGAACAGTGGCCACAGAAACTGCAACCAGATGTTTTAAAGTGACAAAGCACAAGCTTGGTCTCCAAGAAGAGACATGGGGAAGACACCTTTGGCCCACTCGCGCAGAGGTCGAGATCCGTGGGTGTGGAACATCGCGTGTAACATTGGAGTTTTCTCAACGTGTTCATCAGTTTTGCCAAATTTTTCCCCCCTTGTTCTTTTCCTTAAAAAACCAAACCTTTGTTTTAAGGGATGACTATTTGGGAGGGGTTAGGGAGAGGAATACTGGGAGAAAGTGAGGTGATAATAAGAACAAAATAAAAATGAATTTAAAAAAATGACGTATGACTGGAGTTTAGGTGAGAGATTAGAGTGGACAGATAGATTGAAGCATCATCTGTATAGACATAATTCTTGAATTCATGGTAGCAGAAAAGCTCTTTGAGAAAGAGTGTATGGGGGCAGGAAGGTGGCGAAGTGGATAGAGCATCAGCCCTGAAGTCAGGAAGACCTGAGTTCAAATCTGCCTCAGACCAAATACTTGACGCTAGCTGTGTGACCCTGGGCAAGTCACTTAACCCCAATTGCCTTTAAAAAAAAAAAGAAAGAAAGACCGAGTATACAGATAGAAGGGAGGAGAACCTGGGGGAGTGCCCTAGGGAACAGGTCCTCAAGTTCAGAGGGGGGCAGAAGATGGATAATGATTTGTTTTAATGAGAAAGTCCAAGAAGACCTGAATTCAAATCCTAACCTGTCTCTGTGGCCCAAGGCAAGTCACTTAACCTCTCAGTGACTCAGAAACTCATTGGGAGTTCCTTGTCCTAATGAAATCACAGGTCTTTACCCTTCAAAGTAACATATATAAAGAGCTGGTTTCATGTGTTGTCCATCACTGAGGGATTCCTTGTCTGATCTCTTGTGTTTACTTACCAGAACACTTCTGTGCCAGTTCTTTGATTTTGTAATGATGTTGATTTGGGTGTTTGTTCCAAAGGCTGAGACTGTAAACCTTCCGGTCCAGTCCTTCCCATGCTGTGCAACCTTTGGGTGTGGGGAGGGGTCTGCTACTGGGGACTTGCCTTGCTTTCTCCTGACATTGTATTGTTTCTGAATCATGAATAATTTGTTTATAGAAACTTCCATGTGAAGGTTTCTAGAATTTTTCAGTATTTCTGTCATGACACAAATGTTTGTACATGATTCACAGGCTCCTGAAATGTCAGCCCTCCAAATTAGGAAACCTGCAGGACAGGTGTTAAGCAGCACGGTTTTACCTTCCACCTACCAAATACGCGTCACGACCTGTAAGACGGAGCTTCAGCAGCTGGTCCAGCAGAAGCGAGAGCAATGTCACGCGGAAAGGATAGCCAAGCAGATGATGGAGAATGCTGAGTGGGAGAGCAAACCACCACCACCAGGTAACAGCCTAATTGCCATTCTTGTCTGCTCCAGGGTCTCCTCAGCTTGGTGAAGATGACCTTCACTCTTTAAAGGGGAAGTGTTTTGTTTTTAAGAATTGTCAAACATACTGATATTATATGAGTGAGTTCTGAATTTTAACCTGGGAAATTTGTATTTTAGGTTCTGTGTGTATGATCAGATATTATTTTTAGGTTTTTAGCAGTGTGTTTTTAACCTGAAAACCCCTGAGAATAGACAGCATAAATCTGTATATACCTGGACCCACAGGGGGGATGTGCGCATTTGTGGATCCTTGGATATGCCACTGGGAAAGAGTTGGAGCTTCAGACCTCTGGTGAGCTGTACTCCAGATTCTAAAATTGCCAACTGGTGCACCTGGTGCACCAGGGGTGCTAATCGTCTCTCTGAATTTAGGCTGATGTTTGTGGAGTGTCAGTTTTGTGGTGCCACCCCTCCCTTAGAATCAGAAGTAGTTCGTTCTGAACTTGTAGCCATTTCATTCTTTAATGGTCTCTCTTTATGAGTGTCCTTAACCAGACCAATGGATTTTATTCATCCATCAAAGGAAAGCGATCCACTTTTGGGTTTCAGGAGGTGTGCAATCACAGTTTGCTTTTAAAATTTCCTTCTTTGAACACTTCCGTGGGCATATTAAATTGATTTTTTTTCTAGAGGTGTGTGTTCAACCTACATGGGCAGATGGTCTTGACGTGGTGGCAGAGCATTATGATTGCTTTTAAACCCAGTGCAGCCTGGGTACAGAACAAATCCTGCTCCTCTTTTTCAGATTATGAGCAGGAACTCTTGGGGGGAAGATGATTTATTCTTGACTTGCATATAGCCTTGTTCCTCACAGTTAGCCATTGCTGGCAGAAATCCTTATTCTTTCTTGTTTAAAAAAAGAAAGAAAGAAAGAAATAATGTTCTCCAAAAATGTTATATTTATCACATGATTAGCCAGAAAAGTTGGCTCCCACTTCACTCAGATCTTCCTCATGGCTCTAATTTTGAAGCTTGTTTCATACGGATTCCTCAATGCCATCTCTACCAAGATAGCATCACTGTTGAGGAAGGAAGTTGGCCAGTTTCTGTAAAGAAGACTGAACATGTTTTCATTCTACTGGACAAACAGGCAAAATTGTTAGGGAGAGGGAGGCCATTGCCACTCCTTTTCTGTTGCCCTGAAAAAGGGCACAAATTTAACTGCACTCCTTGGGTTTCTTGGAAAGCATATGACTCACTTCTAGAGTATCCTAACTTTTCATTCCATAAAACATCACATTTCTACAAACATGAGGTGCCTACTGCGTGCAGAGGCATGCTGGGCTAAGCTCTGGGAATACAAAGGTAGAAGACTTTGCTCAGTTGTTTTTGAGTTGTCTCTTCACTCTTGGTGACCCCATTTTGAGTTTTCTTGGCAGAGATACTGGAGTAGTTTGCCATTTCCTTCTCCAGCTCATTTAACAGATGAGGAAAGTGACATAAAGAGGGTTAAGTGACTTGCCCAGGGTCATAGAGCTAGTAAGTGTCTGAGGCTGGATTTGAACTCAGGGAGAGGAGTCTGTCTGACTTCAGGGCCAGGACTCTGTGCACTGTGGCACTCCTAGAAGCCTGACCTCACATGTAATAATTCAATAATCCTCTATGTCAGTAGATAGATTCTGGTTTCATAGACTTCATGAAGGACTTAGAAGAAAGTCCTTGGCATGTTATGTCTTGTTCCTGTGGTAGGTTCTAGAAGCACTCTGTCCGCTGTGCTACCTGGCTGCCGCTACATGGGCCTTCTTCATAGTGGTTTGTCCTGTGATCATAGTTATCCATCGAATGGCTTACTGGCATCCAGTCTGATCCTGGTGGCCATTATCCATGGCGCTCTGGTACACGATCCTTATTGTCTCAGGGAGTCTCCCCACCACAAAACAGCCCAGCTCTTATTCTTATGTTGTACTTTAGTACGTGTTAATGATCTCTCCAGTAGCCTAATTTCCAGTTAGGGGAGCTCAACTCCCATAGTAACAACAACAACAACAATAATAGTGAATGGCTACGTAGATAAATAAAGAGAATGATGATGATGATAATAAATAGATAAAAACGGTGTTGATGATAATAAACAAATGACCGTTATAATGGCATTAGCCCCCAATGTCAACTCCTTTACTCAGCTTCAGCTGCACACAAGGAATGGTCATACTTTTGATCTTTCCATCAACCACAAGTGTTCTACTTCCACATTAAAAAACTCTAAAATTCTCCTATCTTTTATCATGCCACCTCTCCCTGTTCCTAACTACTCCTAAACCTTCTCTGCATCCTCATTGGGATCTCTAATCCCACTTCTCCTCAATACTTTCCCCGGCTAGCACCCTGCTCTGACTATATTCTGCTCCTTTCTAAGTCTCAGCCCCTTGGTGAACTTGCTCTACTCTACACTGCCTGCTCCTCTAATGTCCCTTGTTTCCTTGTCCTGTTACTGCTTATGCCATGCCAAACCCCAAACTTAGAGTACACCTACCACCTGCTTTCTTTGCTCATGCTCATATGGGCCAAATGGGGCTGCGAGAAAGAATGAAACTTGCCTAGGTCCACACACGTTTGATAATCTGATTTTAACTGAGCCCTCATTGCGACAAGAGAATCCTGCTTCTCCTTCATTGATTCTTTGTCGCACTCCCCAAAGCAGCTCTTCCAAACCATTTCTTTTCTCTTTAAGCCCATCATGACATCCTCTCAGCTGAGGACTTTATCTTGTATTTACCCCCAAAATATCAAGTATGTCTGCCGGGAGCTTTCTCTGTTTCTTTGTCTCACATCCCCTTGATAGTCTCTGCCGCTTTATACCCGTCTCTGATGAAGAGGTGGTCCTTCTCCTTGGCAAGACAAACTCCTTTACCTGTACCCTTGGTCCCGTCTCCTCCTGTTTTCTCTAGCCTCTTGCTCCCTCTGTCATCCCATCTCTCTTATTGAACTTCAGGCTCTCCGTATCTATTAATTCCTTCCCTGTTGCCTATAATCATGTCCAAGTCCCTTCAGTCCTTAAAAAAAAAAAATCACTAGATCCTATCATCCCCTGTGCCTTTCTCCTAGATCTCCCTTATTTTCTCAAACACCTTGAAAAGCCTGTCCATGGTCAGTTCTTCCACTTGTCCTTCCTCTCTGCTGGTTCTTCTGAATTGTCTGCAATCTGACTTCCAGCCTTATCTCTCAGCTGCACTTATTCCTTCCAAAGTCACTGGTGACTTATTGTCAAATCTAATGCCCTTTTCCCAGTTCTCCTCCTTCTTGACCTCTCTGCAGCACTGACATATTGATCACCTTCTCCTTTCTGGATTTTGTTTTTCTCTCTTGGTTTTCTTCTTACTCCTCTAACCATTCCTTAGTTTCCTTTGTCATACTCACTAACTTGGTGTACCCCAAGGCTCTGTTCCAGGCCCCTATCATTTTGATCTTTCCTCTCCCGTGGTGATTTCATCAACTCCCATGGACAGCATTGATATAATTTCTGTTTAGGTGACTCCCAGATCAGAATACTTGGCCTGAATCTCAGGAGCTCCAGGCCTGTATTGTAGATGTTTCATAGTTGATGTTTTGTGCACATCCTGAATGAATGAATGGATATATGGATGGATGGATGAATGAATGAATGAATGAATGAATGAATGAATAAATATTAAGTGCTTATTATGTGCAAAGCAGCTGGTTGAGTGCTGGTGATACAAATAGAAAAGCAAGACTGTTTTTACTCTCAAGGAACTTGCATTCATGTATTGGGAGACTTTTCAGCTGCAAGCCATATGGAAAGGCCCAGTGGTCCTTAGGGGACAGTGACAAAGCAGATATTGTCATATTTTAATGACATTTTCATTGGTAAAACTGTATCTATTTCTAATGTTGAACCATTTGTCAGTTCCCAGGACTTTTGTGACTAGAACTTTCTCTTTTGGGATTCATTGGTTGTGTCTGCTGAAGGAGTAGGGCTGTAGCACCTGCAGAGGCAGTGGCCAGATAGTGTCTCCACAAAGGAAACTCAGCAAGTCCAAGACACAATTCATTTCTCCCCCGAGTGTCATCCTCAGCTCTTGACTGTCATTAACCCCACATGTCTAATGACCTCCCAAATCCTATTGTTTCCCGTATGTGTCTCTTTCTCTTTCCTTAGGTGACCACAGCCCTGGTTCTGGCTTCCATAGACTGGCCTTTTCATCGGCCTCCTGCCTCAGGCCTTTTCCTACCACAGTATATTTTCCACAGGAAAGGTGCGGAAGTGCAGGTTTAACCGTGTTACCACCAGCCCCCCCCCCCCAATCCCCTATCAGTAAATTCCAGTGACTCCTTATTACCTCTAGAATCAAACATACAATCCTCTGGTTAGCATTTAAAGTTCTTTAAAAAAAATTCTTGTAAGTATGTAAGCATTTGTTTTCTTTCTCCTACCCCTCCCCCCAAATTTGGAGAAAAGGAAGGAAAAACCCATCTAATAAATATGTGTAGTTAAGCAAGACAAGTTCCTGCATTGAGCCACGTCTGACAGTGTGTGCCTTGTTCTGCATCCTGAGCCTGTCCCCGCTCTATCAGGCAACGCGGAGCCTGTTTCGTCATTGGTGCTCTGGAGTGTGGCTGGTCATCACATTGATCCCAGTTGTTCAGCCTTTCCTAGTTGTCTTTACCGTGCTGTTATTTTATGAATTGTTCTGGTTATCTTCCCTCCTCTGCATCAGTTCACACAGGTCTTCCCTGTTTTCTCTGAAACCATCACTTTTACCATTTCTTATGACATGGTAATTTTCTGTTCATTTATATACTGTAGTTTGCTTAGCCATTCCCTGATTGATGGGCACTCCCTTAGTTTCCATTTGACGTCCTTAAGTGGGCCCCTTCCTGTATTGTCCATTTTCTTGCCCATCACTCACCTCTGTGCCCTCCACCATCCTACTGCATGGATCTGCTTGCTGTTCTTTAGGTGGAAGGGTCTATCTCCTGGTCTGTTGTGCCTTGGTATTGGCTGTCCCTCAGGTCTGCATGGGCTCTTCATTTCTCTTAGAAACCCTGATTTTTTTCAAGACTCCTTCCGAGCTCCATCTTCTAAAGGTGACATTTCTTGGTCCCCTTAGATGATAAAGCTTTCTCTAAGATTACATTTTATCTGTTTTGATCCATCCATTTATGTGCATGTTGTCTCCCCTTTTAAAAGGGAAACTCCTCGAAGGTAGGGACAGTTCTTGCTTTTCCTTTGTATCCCCCAGAGAGCTCAGTGCCTGATGCTGAGGAACCGCTTAATGAAATCTTGTTGGTTGGTTGACTTGGTCAGTGATAATGAGTACATTAAATCTGATAAAGACAGACGAGGGGGCAGGGTCAGGGAATTGTCTCTCTAAAGTCACAGTTATGGTGCACATAAAATCTCGTGTCCATTTCCTCAGGATGGCGGCCCAAAGGCCTGCTGGTTGCACATCTTCATGAGCACAAGTCTGCAGTGAACCGCATTAGAGTCTCTGATGAGCATTCCCTCTTTGCAACATGTTCAAATGATGGCACAGTGAAAATCTGGAACAGTCAGAAAATGGAAGGGAAAACTACGACCACTAGGTAAGGAACAGAAGGAGGTTCCCAAGAGGGGGCACCTTTTGTAGGAAAGCTGCAAGCCTCCCAAACATGAAGCACGTACTGCCCTTGATAATGTCCAGATTCCATAATTATTTAAAAATGAGCTTAAAAAACTTTCTGTCTGTTTTTTTGTTGGAAGCTGCCTTGGTTTCCTCCTAGGTTAAGTATGAGAGGTGATCTCTAAAATTCCTTCCCTTTCTGAGATTCTGTGGTGGCTCAGATCTGCCCAGTTCATTCTCTTTAGTGATGACTCCATTTCTTGTCCTACCTTAAACAGTATGTCATGATTAATGGTTGAGAGGGGCAGTGGCCTTTGCCAGTAAAGCATTTGTGTGTGTCCATGCCCATATCCCTTCACCCATCCCCACACACCATGTTCTTCAATATTTAAGTGTGTACAGAAAAATCCCAAATGATATTATGTCCAGTTTGTCCCTTCGGAGGTAATTTGGTAACCTGCTGTTGTCATTTTCTCCTGACTTGAGGTTAGTGTTTTCTGTTTTCTTGATCTTCCCCTACTTCACCTTAGACATTTCCACGTCCGCATTGCCTCCATACACTTTTACTTGGCTTAAGAACAACATTTTGGAAAGCTGTTTTTTCTACTGTTACTCATTTTCTACCTTCTTCTAGTTAGTTTTTTAAAAAACTTTTCTTTAGTTGAATCACATTTGTAAGAATCTTTCTGGTACTCAGTTCTTAGTCTTCAGGTACTCCATAATCTGTATGACTAAGGAAGTCATTGAATCTGGGAGCCTCAATTTGTTTTCGTCTGTAAAATGGGGATAATAATAGTTTCTCCTACATAGGTTTGTTGTGAAGGTCAAATGAAGTCATTAAGAGTACTTAAAAAATCTTAAATCGCTACATAAATTTGAGCCTTTAGTTTTAATATTGTTTTTATTTCTGCACATTTTTTTTAACATAGATCAGTTGTTTTACATCTGATCTTGTTGACATTTGCACAACTATTTTTGTATAGAAAGCATTATTTTCCCAAATAAATAGAATTATGTTTCTATGTGGAGAAATTGGGATTTCTCCTGTTAGCTGCCCAAAGGTTAGTATTTGTGGAGTGTAGCATTCTTGTGATAGATCCATCTTCGAGGAGCTGGGAAGCCTCGCCTGCTGAGAACATCAAGGATAAGAAGAATAGGACGAATGCCCAGGGCTCTGGAGCCGCCCATGTTTTGGGTGTGAGGGACTTAAAGCAATGACTTGTTAGGTTGCAGAAAAGAAGTGATACCAATTTAAGGAAGACTATTAAACAACATTACAATGGGAGCAGAGGAAAGAACATTTGGTAAATGTGACTGAGAAAAGTAAAGGAGTCCTGATGGATCCAGTCAGGAAGCATTTCTCAGGTGCCTGCTCTGTGCCAGGCCTTGTGCTCAGTGCCAGGGATACTGAGAAAGGCAGAGGGGCTCCTACCCTTAAGGAGCTTCACACTGAATAGGGGAAACAGTCTGCAGGCAATTATGCTCAAGCAGGATTGACAGAGGGCAGATGGGAGGTGATCTTAGAGTCTGGGAAAGATGTCAGGGGCACCAGAAAGAAAGGTGACATGTGAAAGAACATTCAAAGCCCAGAATCAGAAGTCTGAAAGGACATTCTCCATCAGAGTGGGGAAGCCACTGAGAAGATCTGAAAGAGTGTGTGTCCTGCTCATCGTCCAGTTACAGGATCTGGGACAAAAAGAACGATGTTGCTTCTTCAGATGAAAAACCTTCGCGTCTCTGGGTTGGAAGGGAGGCCCAGAGGGCGCCTAGTCCACATGAGCAGGAGTTGCTTCCACAGCAAGTGGTGTCCAGCCTTTCCTGGGCACTTCTTGATTTATTTGGCTTGTTATAATTCATTAAAATAAACCTCTCTCTTACTACTCTGTGATGATGGGTCAGTTACAGAGAAATACAAGGCATAGGCTCTTACCTTTAGAAGTTTTAATTCTAATTGAATATCAGCACAAGCCTGGCACATCATTTTTTTTAAACTAACTGAATAAATCAGACTAATATTGTAGAGTCTAGAGAAGTCTGAGATCATTGCGGCCGTTAGGTGCAAGGGAAGGCTGGGTGTGAGATTCAGAGGGAGGAGGAAGTATTCAGGGACTGGAGAATGGCATGAGCGGAGACATGGAGGCATGGCATATTCAGGAAACAGTGAGTTGACCAGTGTGGCCAGAACAGGAGATTCCTGTTGGGAATAAGGGAGATGAAGGTTGGAAAAGTTGGTTTCTTCTAGATTGTGAAAGTCGTCAAATGCCAGATTAAGGATTTTGGATTTTTATCTTCCAGTCAGTGGAGATTCTTTTATTTTTCATGCATGTTAGTGACCGATGGAAGAAAGAGTAATCTGTAATTAGTGGCCAGATGTTTGGAGACAGTAGGGACTAGACGCAGGAGACTCAGTCCGGGCGTGACTAGGTGAGGGCCTGGGCCTGGCTGGTAGCAGGGAGTTGGGAAAGAAAGGAATGGAGATGAACATTTTGAGGACAAATCAGCAGGAATTCATGGCTGATGGTGTTGCCAAGGTGTAAGGGACAGGGAAGAAGGAAAGTTGATTTGAATGAGGGGAAGAAGGAGGGAACAAACCTAGGGAAGTTGGAAGGAGGAGCCAGATCTGAGAGAAAGTTGTTGCATTTGGTTTTCGGTATATAGAGTTTGAAGCCTCGAAGGTCATCTAAGTGGAAATGATACTCTTGGAAAAGCTATGGAGACAAGTCATGGCCTGAGATGTAAGTTGTGGTGTCAGAGACATAGAGTGTAAGAGTCCTTGGATCTGTGTGCTTATGTGAGCAGGCCCAGGAAGGGCCACGAAGGATACTGGCACTGGTTAGTAGAGGCCAACAAGGCTCCATAATGGACCTCAGTTCCTGGGAAGTGGCTTGAGTTTGGCCCAAGTGTTACTACACATTGCAGCTTAGATTCCTAATCTTTGGCATATCCCCTTGTCTGTGAATGCTTCACCTGGTTGTGTCAAGACTTTGTTTGCTTTCTAATCTCAAGTCTCACCTCCACCTCCAGTGAGGATCTGTACTATCCACCTCCTCCCTCCCCCCTTTCCCTAACTACCGGTGTGCGTGTGCCACTTTTGCCTTTGGCAATGCCAAAACAGATTGACTGAAGATATGGGACAGATTAGTTCTCTGAGAAAGGCCAGTGTGGAGAGGCAGTATTAAAGGATGAAAGCCTGAGCCTTTGGAACCAGTTAGGACGTGGAGAAAGAAAGGGAGGCCAGAAGAGAAGGTAGAAAAGGAAGTCAAAGAGAAATGTTCTTTCTGGCTCTAAATCTATGACTGTATAAGTGTGATGAGATGTGAAGCTGGGAAACAGCCTCTCTACCCATCTCATCACATGAAGACAGAGCAAAGGAGCCAATGGAGGGAAAGAAGTGAAAGGAGCTAGGCAGAGAGAATGACTGAAGGAGCGACGCACGAGAGGAAGCAGCTGGGGAGGGGCTCCTTTTCTTCTGAGGGCGCAGAGATTGGAGCAGAGCTGGTTCGATCACTTCACACAGCAGCAGTGAGCATCTCATCCAGTGTCCTGATTCGTAGTAGTTAAGTGGCCACGGCCACTTGTGTATTCTAATGATATGCTCTTATTATATCCTAGTCTGGTCTGTGGATTAGGGGGCAGCTAGGTGGGTGCCGTGGATGCTGCTCTGGGTCTGGAGTCGAGGAGAAACCAGGTTCGAATCCAGCCTCAGTCACTTACTAGTTGGGTGACCCTGAGCAAGTCACATAACCTCTGTTTGCCTCAGTTTCCTCATCTACAATATGTGGATAATGATAGCAACTATCTTCCAGGGTTGTGCAAGGATCAGATGAGATGGTAATTCTAAAATGCTTAACATGGTGCCTGGCACACAGTAAGTGCTTTCTAAATATTAGTGATTATTATATATAGTTGTGTGTGTAAAAGCGAATTTTTAAGCTCCATGGGGTCTGAGTATGTGCCTCAGTTATTTTTGTTAACATTCCTAGAATTAAACCCTGTGCTTTGCAGTGAAGAAACAAATGATTATTGACTAAAGGAGTGGATAGAGAATGAATAGAAAAGAGAAAGAAGTGTTTATAAATTGTTTACTGTGTGCCCAGCATCGTGCTCAGTTTTGGGGATACACAAAATTAAAGAAGATCCTGCCCACAGGAAGCTTCTAACAATATGAACCAAGGAGCCAGTAGGCCTGGGGGGTTATTTTGGTTTGGAGATTAATAGGCATGGTGAGTGGGTGAGCAGGCCCAGGGCATATGACCCACCCTTTCCAGCAGCACTGACAGTATTGATTTTATTATGGTTCAAGAGCTGGAAAACCAAGGGAGGGGCACACATCCAGTGGCAGGGTGACCGGGGAGAGGATGTGAGTACCTTAAAATGGCAGGATGGGGAAAAGATGGAGAAGCTCCTGGTGGATGGTGTTTTTTTGTCTAATGTAAGAAGAGCTTCGTAAAAGTAAGACTGAGGGAAATTTATAACTTTGTTTTTAATAAAATAAGATATTTATTTCCAAGATATGCATTTGAGCGGAGGTTCTTAACCAGAAATCCATGAATTTGTAATTATAATGATGATTTTTATCATAGGTCAATTCTAACATACACACGTATTGGAGGACGTGTCAAGACACTCACGTTTTGCCAAGGATCCCATTATCTGGCCATTGCTTCTGATAATGGTGCCGTGCAGCTTCTTGGGATTGAAGCTTCCAAGTTACCTAAATCTCCTAAAATACATGCCCTTCAAAGCAGGTATTCTTTTTTTCTTTACAATTTATGTTTTATTTTAAGAATGGTTATACAGTAACTCTGGTGTAACACTCCATCTACCTCTTTTTGGCTTGTATTAGATGAAGAGGCTTTTGTTCTTAAACAAAAGTTGTTTATCAGCTGGTATTCAGTCTGAACAATCAATGATCTTATTGATATGGTCATCGCAAAATTCCATAAGTCAGAAGGACCCGCACAGTAAGGGACATTTCATACAAACTCTACCTGTCCAGGGATAACCTTTGCCACCTTCACAAGTGACGGGAGATAGGGGAAGGGGAGGGGGCCTTACTACCACTATTCTGAAGTAGCCCCTTCTCCTGTAGACAAATCTAATTGTGGGCAAGTTTTTCCTTAAATTGAACTGAAATCTTTTCTTTGTAACTTTCACCCATGACCCCTTCTGCCCTTTGGGAATAATCTGGGCTCAAGTAAGTGTCCTCTCTCTTGTACTTGACGGCCCTTTTCACTCTTGAACAAGGCCATCATGTCCCCTTCAGTCTTTTTTTTTCCCCTAGGCTAACCATCTCTACTTGTTTTAGCCAGAGCCACTTGGCATGGTCTGTCATTTCCCCATCATCCCGATTCTCCTTTGTATGTGTTCTGATCTGTTCATTTCCTTCCTAAAATGTGCTGCCCTCTCAAAGCTGAAAGTCCAGATGACTGATGAGGGATATTGGGAGGGAAGAACTGTCGAGGTTCAGGGTACTGTCCTAGGCCCTGCAGACACAAAAGATGGAATGGGACAGTCTTAAAATTTAGTACTGGAGTTAAGACATAAAACACAAATGCGACTTGTAATAATAATGCCAATGTCTAGGAGAGATCTAAACAGAATGATACAAGAGGTATTAAGAAGGGAGGGAGCTGGGGGTAAAGCAGTGCCTCATGGAGGAAATGGTGTCTGAATCTGCTGCCATTTCAGCAGGCTGAGACCTAAGGGCAGTGAATCGGAGACTCAGAGTTAGTCCAGTGTTCAGACCACTTCCTTATCTTAGTGAAATAAAAGGAATTGTTCTTTATCAGTGAAAACCCCCCAAAATGTTGTCAGCCTTCTAGCTCTTGGTATAAAGCCAAAATGGACGGTGGGAAAGTAAAGGGAGCGTTTAATATAATTACTGTATTTTTTAATGGTTGCTCTAGAAGTTTTCTGTTTGAGATTTATACCCCACCCTTTTATGAAATATCTTAAAGCAATTTATAGAGTACATACTGTAAGGTAAGCAAAGGGGAATGGCCGTTTTTAGGCACCAGAGTTAAATAAATGCAATTTGGCCAGTAGGATCCACGGTGCATAACATCACTTTCATCTCCTGACAGACAGCAGAAAGCATCCGCCTTCATCTACAAATGGAAAGTAATGGTAGAAACTCATGAAGAAGTGAGAAAAGTCACCCGTCTGTTATTTTGTTTCACTAGGTTTTTAGACCAGAAGGAGGATGGGTGTGTTGTAGATATGCATCACTTCAACTCAGGGGCCCAGTTAGTTCTGGCCTATGCCACAGTGAATGGCTCCTTGGTTGGCTGGGACCTCAGGTCTTCAAGTAATGCATGGACATTGAAGCATGATTTGAAGTCAGGTCTCATTACCTCATTTGCTGTGGACATCCACCAGTGCTGGCTGTGTATCGGTAAGCTGAATTTCATCCTTCTATTTTGTTTTCATTGGAGTAGTAAAGTAAATAAATATTTATACATTGCCTCCTGTAGCCTTTGACTTAGTTGTTTTTGGTAATAGAAGTAGGCAGTTACATGAATAATTAATGCTTGGAGTAAATCTCTAAACTTAATTTAATCCATTGCTTTCAACCTTGCTTCATTTGCTAGATCTTTTTGTTAGTTCTTTTGAAAGTCATGTTATTAACAAATTAGTTTCTCTCTCTTTTTTAGCCTTTTAACTAATAGCATTGCTAATAAAAAGAGAAAAGGTCAGAAATTAGGCGGTGGGTGGAAAGAGAATGAGTAGTTGGGATTCAGTGTATTCCACATATTAGAAAATCAGCCATTAGATAATTACCAGAAGATTTTACTTAGATTTAAATTGGATCATTTTTATGGAGCTTATTTTTGAAAAACTTGAATTTATTTTTATAATTAATGAATTTGGGCCATAAAATTATTTTCGTGTTTAATTAGATAAATTCCCCAAATAGTGTTGTTAATGTGAGGGAGTATATTCAAGTGGAAAGATGGTCACATCTGGAATTAGAGGACTGGGGTACAGGTCTTAGGGAATATAGGACCTCAAGATTTAAGGCATTATGTAAAAAGATAGTTGTTATTAACATTCACGATGACTCATTGATGGGACTTGGAGGAAGGTCCCAGGGCAGTGGGGACACCCTTCGTGGAGGATCTACAGCAGCCAGTGGACAGGAATTGTGTAGGATGTCAGGATTTGGATGAGCTGGGACTTGGCCTGGAGGTGAACATTAATAGCAGCAATACTAGTGATCATCTGCATCACTTCTCTCTCTGAGAAGCTTGATTGTCTTGATTTTGGTTTGAGATCTGACCGTCTTTCCCTCTTTATGAGGTCAATTACAAGGGGACAGGTGGACTCATCCTGCACTAAGATTAGAAAGTTAATGGGGAGCAAAGACAGGACCCTACGTCTATAGGATGTTAAGCGCTGTGCAGTGAAGTTCAGACATTCAGCTCGTTTCACTCCCACAGCTGTTACACGTTGGTACTGACGCACTGTGCTAAGTACAGGGAATACAGCCTCTTGGCCCCTGTGTCTTACTGGGGAGTGAGCACACGGATAGAACTGTGAAAGTGCATGTGGTATTCTCAGATCTCCAGCTACTAGGGAAACTGAGGAAGATGTAAGTGTAAGAGACGGCATCTGAGTTGAGCCTTGAAGGGAGAAAAGCTGGCTTCTGAGAGGTGGAGGGGCTGAGGGGAGACGTGGTGTGCACAGGCAGTGTTGGGGTGTCAGAGGGTGGAATACCAAGGAATACTGGCCAGTGCTAGGGAAGGAGTCTGCAGAGGTAGGGAGGACTCAGATGGTGCCTGAATGAGGAGCTTGTATTTTATTCTGGAGGTACCGAGAGACACTCAAGGTCAGAACTAGGACTTAAGAAGATGATTTGTGGTGGCTTTGTAGGGGAGAATTAGGGAAGGCAAAGAATGGAAGTAAGATGAAATGGGAAGGTGTTGGATGGTCCGTGTGAGGTGTTGTGGTAACTGTGGGAGCAAGCTGGGGGTGTAGAACTGATGAGGCTGATTTGCTGTGGGTGATAAAGGAGAGGGAAGAATTGACTGTGACTCTTGGGATGGTGGTGCCGTAACTAGAAATAAGAAGCTTTGGAGGAAGGCTGGGTCTAGAGGAAAAGATGATAAGTCCCATTTTGTTTCTGTGAAATTGCCTATGGAACATCTAGGTGAAGATGTCCAGCCTGCAGTAGATGCATGACTGAAATTCAGGAGGCAGGTGGGGGTGGATGTACATATGCATTTTGGAGACTTTTGATTAAAGATAATAACTAAACCCAAGAGAGCAGATCAGATCAACATGGGAGAGATTATAGTGCAGGTGAAAGGGTCTGGGAGGGAGCTGAGGGGGCACCCATACTGCGTGGTGTTGGAGGGAGACTGAGGAGTGCTCAGGCAACTTTGATGAAAGCCTGGAGGGAACCAGAGGAGGCAGGGAGTGGTTGGCAAGGTCAGAGAAGACTGAGAAGAATCCTTCAGTGCGAAGCAGCAAAATCTTTGGTACCTTTGGAGAGAGTAGTTTCAGTAAAATAGTAGGGGCCCAAAGTCAGGTTGGAGGGGGCTGAGAAATGAGTGAGAGGTGAGTAAAGGGAGGGTATGATTGCATGCAGTTTCTTCTAGGTGTTTGCTTGTGGATCGGAGAAGATTCATAGGCTGGTAGCTTGAGATGGTGGTTATGTGAAGGTTTTTAAGGTTAGTGAGGTTATTGACCTGGCTTTGTGTGTAGGCCCAGCAAAGGAACTATTAAAAAAAGAACAGGCTCTCTGAAAAGACCTGAGGTATTTGGAACAAGTAGAGGAATTCACTTTACGAGGAGAAAGGCCCTTCATTAGGGATGAGAGCAAAGGAGAGTCCTCTGTTGGGTGTTTTGAAATGAGAGGGAGGGAAGAGGGAGCTCAGAGCAGCAGGCCTCATTTTCCTTAGTAAAGTGGGAGGTAAAGTCCACCCATTCATTTTACAGATGAGGATGTTACATTTTTCAGGTTACTTGAGAAGCCCATGCTGCAGTCAGGAGTAGAATCAAGGCTTCCTAAGAAGGCCCTTCATTGTTAGCAGCGTGCAGTTAGCACTGCAGCTGTGGCCCAGCAGGATTTAAAATAAGAAAGGGCTGGGAGCCCTTTGGAGGGAAGCTACCCACATCCAGGGAGAAGCAGCCTTTGTTTCCGGTGGATTTTTCCCCTTTGTCCATTCTGTGGCCCTCCTTCATCTGCTTTTCTTCCACTCCTATTTGGTGTTTGCATCTGAAAGGTACCTTATCAGGGTGGCCCCTGCATGGGAAGGAGCCCACCTGTGAGAGGGAAGCTTGTCCTTTTAATTTTTTAAAAATAATTTCTTTTTGGTTTTCACCACTTACTTCTATAAGATTTTGAGTTTTAAATTTTCTCCCCATCCCCAAGATGGTGTGCAATCTGATATAGGCTCTACTTATACATTCATATTAAACCTTTTCACATTAGTCATGATGTAAATAAGACTTAGAACTAATGAGAGGAACCACAAGAAAGAAGAAACAAAACAACAAAAGAAAAGGAGAGCAGATACTATGCTTCCATCTGCATTTTGCTCTTCTTTTACAGAGCAGAAAACAAAGTCTCAGAAAGACTGAATTGATGGGGTCAAGGTGGTGGAGCCAAAAGTAGAAACCAGACCTTGTGAATGCCGTGGCCCGTGCTCTCGGTGCTGAGCGTTCTTTCTCCAAACACCAGCACTGTATCAGTTGGATTTGCCATTTCGTAGAGCGGAATTTTTCTAAAGTGTTTAATCTTGGTAGCTGTTTTTCCCCCCCTTTTGTATAGACATTGTGCATCACATATTATCTTTTCATTAAAAACAAATTTTAAAATTTGTAAAATCTTGGTGTTCCAAAGCATGGATCTGTTTTACACATGCTGTTCTTTCTCGTTCTTCAGTGATCTTGTTTTCTTTCTAATTGCCATGGTGATGATTTTAGCTGGCATTCTCAGGCTGCATTTTGGTGGCCTCCATTTCCTCCATGTACCATGATCTGGTGTGGCTTTTTCCCCGTTTCTAGAGCCTCTCCCCCCAACCCTCCCGGGCTTTGAACAATCTTCTTGAGACTGACTATGCCACAGTATCTGTCCTTTCTCCTTCTTTTCCTTCTTCTTCAGAAGCTTTGTGGCTTTCTGTGCTTCCGTTGTGTTTCTAGGTTTCCTGACTTGCTTTTGTGAAGTCTCAAAATTAATTTAGTTTTTCCTTATTGCCTTCTGGACAGGTTGTTTTTATTCATCTAGGATATAAGAATCAGAAGTTTAGATTATGTTGTCCTTAAGGAATGCATGCGCGTGCGTCTTCCTGTTCTTGTTGCATGGACGAGCCTGGGCCTGGTGCTTGAATACTTAATGGTGTTGATGCTTTGTCTCGCCACATAAAATGATACAGTGGCACTTGTCAGAACATCATGCAGGCCCTGAGACATCTCCCTCCTTCCGTTGCTGGTGGTAACAGAAGAGAAGAACTAACCTTTCCATCAACATTCCCTTGGCCCACTGGAAATTGTGCTCCCCTGGATGACTGCCAGACTTGAAGGGTTTATTTACAAGGCATTAGGCCTGGACCAATGCTGCACAGACCAGCATCAGTGCCCTCCCCTCCCCTTCCCCCAACAGCTGCCTGTCATGGGTTCTCAAGGGATGGTGTTCCCCCTCACCCCCCAAACCACTGACTTGAGTCCATAATGCAGTAAGTCCCAGGCTGGCCCCTGCTCGACTCAGCTCAGACACAAAGGCACTTTTCTCTTGATTCTGTTCAATAGTTTCTACCCTTCCATCTCCCTCCTAGTATATGAGAGAGGCCCAAATTAACTGTGAGTAACTCATAATCCAGTTGATTGAGAATGGATGGTAGGTGCAAGGCTGACTGAATGTTGCCAGTTTTGAACTTCAACAGTAATCACTGACTGATGAATAAAATTCCCCTTCCTTCATTTTGTAATTCCATTGTAATTTTTGTAATGTGTGGACTAGAGGAGCTTTTAGACAGTGCAGAGGTTAAGGAAGGAATAGTTTAAGGACAGCAGCTAAGAAGCCTTTTTAATATAGTAGTTGAAAGCCAAAGCTCTTCACCTGTTGAATAAAATTTTACCCAGCTGCACTGTGGCCATTAGATGATAATCATTTTACTCTTTCCCCGTGTCAAAAGGTACAAGCAATGGGACTATGGCTTGTTGGGACATGAGATTCCAGTTGCCAATTTCTAGTCATTGTCATCCTTCGAGGGCCCGAATCAGACGCCTCTTAATGCATCCTTTGTACCAGTCATGGGTAATTGCAGGTAAGATTCAGGCTTGTTTTCCAAGTTTTTGAAGCTGAGAGATTTCCTTAAATTTATCCTATTTGTAGACTTTGGCTCTTGTTTTTGTTTTTTCTTTTCTGTCTTGTACATGGGTCAGATCCTTGCTTTTAGCATAGATGTGAATCGCAAAAGATTCCATTTCTGTGTGTTAGGTGACATATAGGCTGGCCTAAGAATAGCATTCCATAAGGCCCACTAAGTTCATCCTTCTTTCTCTCCTGGGAAATGCTGCAAAATTAGTTAAAAATGTGGAGAGAACTCCATTTCATTCTAATCCCTATTAGTACATTCTCACACTTAGGCATCTTATCCTCATTTTCAGTTACATGAAGAGGGTAGCGAGTCTTCAAACTAAAAGCCAGCGAAATTAAGTTCAGTTGCTAGCAAAAGTCATTATTAAAGGGATGGTGTTTGAACATTTAGAACAGGAACGGTAATCACTAAGATTCACACAGCTACATCAAGAACAGGTCCTGCCAGGCTAGTGTTATTTCCCTTTTTAACAGTGTTACCAGACTAATAGATCAGTGAATTGGGTTTTACCAAAGCACTAACAGAACCTCTTGTGCTACATGAGTGGGGTTAGGTGAACTTGGAACTCCCAAGGGTTAACTCCTCTTTTTACCTCCCACATGGCTTGCACAGTTGGGAGGACCCTTTTCTGACCCCCCTCAAAAAAATGTTGAAATTAATTGGGCAGAAGTTCCTGTGGTAGTGGTTCCCATGCTTTTGAGTCTAAGGCTCTTCTTCTAAGAAGTGATAACTGAAAGAATTCAGCACACCTCAGAGATATTCTTGTAGATAAGAATACTGTAGTCATGACAGTGGGTTTTTTGGGTTTGTTTCCATAAAAAGCTTATTGCCAATTTTGGGTCCATTAAAATTCTTCATGTAGCAAATACGCACAGTGGGCTTAAGACAAATGTTGATCTCAGATCTGAATGGGTTTAGAATAATGAAGAGGGAAGTGGCATGCATGGTCACTCTTATTAACTTCCCTGGCCCATTCTGACTAAGGATAAGGAAAAAATAGCCAAAGATAAAAGAGCTGAGCTTTTAGAAGTAGCCGGTAGGTTAGTGGTGTGGTAGGTAGTCTTGGTTGTAGTGAAACTATAGAGGGAAAAATAGAAAAGGGTGTGTATATGATTGCATTTCCTGTCCATTTCCAAAGGGCTTCCATTTTAGGATGCCAGCGCATTCATTTTGCAGTGATGCATAGTGATGGAATAGAATGCTGCTGTAGGTGCTAGGGACTCCAGAAAAAGTTGACCTATTTGACGCAGACTGCGTCTAAGCTTAGCCTGGGTTTAAAGGGGGGTTGGGGAGGAGAGGGACTCTTGTTTTCATAAAATTAACTCCAAGGGAAGAGATACATAGTAAGCGCTTAATTTAAAGTGTTTGTTGACTTGCCATGTGTTTTTTCCCCTGACAGCTGGCTAAAGTACCAGGTCCAAAGGGTTGCGATGTTTAGGGTTGGCCTCGAACATTGTACTGACTTTGTGGAGCATTCTTATTGAGTTTCATAGATGAACTGGTAGTTGGGATTTCTAATAATTTTAGAGGATCGGAATAGAATTCAGAATAGCCTGAGGCAGAGAAATCGTGTCCTTGGTCCCTGTGGTCCCATCACACACAAAGATACTGCTAGATGGGGAAAGAGGACGACTAGATATAAGATAGATAGAAAAGAACTGTATTTCATATTAGGTTAAAATCTGAATGAGACTTCAGTAATATTAATAATAGTGACAGTGAATTTGGCTGACAGTTACATAGGGCTTACTGCGTACTAGGAAGTATCCTAAGCACTTTACAATTATTATCTCATTTGATTCTTACAATAACCCTTGGAGGTAGGTGCTGTTATCTTCATTTTACCCATGAAGAAACTGAGGCAAGCAGGTTAAGTCCCTTGGCCAGGGTCACACAGCTAGGGAGTGTCTAAAGTGGGATTTGAACCTCAGATCTTCCTCACCTCAGGCCCAGTGCTCTATCTACTGTGCCACCAACTGTAGTATAAGGCCCTTATTTTAATGGTGTGCGAGGTCTGGGTATTGTAGCAACACAGCCATGAGGGCCCATGCCTACACATCCTCTCCCTCTCTCTTCCTCCTTTTAGCCTGCCTCAAACAGACCCCAGGAACCCTCACATTTTCTAAGTCATCTGGGTTCCTTTTTAAGCCCCTTTCCTCTGCCCTCAGTGGCAGCTGCCAGCATTCTCCCTCCATCTCCTCTGTAGAATAGATCAGCTTAAGTTTTACTTCTAAGAACATTGCTTGAGGCCAGTGCTCCGTGGAGGTCCTGGGGAAAGAGGCCACTAGGGCAGCACTGGCTGGACCAGCTGGCCAAGCTGTGAAAGCTGGGAGAGTAATTTTGTTGGCCTTGTGTCTCCCTTAGCTGTTCAAGGCAACAATGAGGTATCCATGTGGGACATGGAAACTGGTGACAGACGCTTCACTCTCTGGGCCAGCAGCGCACCACCTCTTTCCGAATTACAGGTTTGGCTTCACTTTTTACTGTAAGGAGCGACATTTTTTCCTACTCTAAGCACTATTCTGGCATTCTGCTGAATCTGGTTTCTGTCATGCCCATGGCTCTGTTTTTCATTTGGAGGTTTCATAAGGCAAAACACCATGTGGCCATGTTTCTTTCCCCCCCCTTTTTGTGTAAGATTATTTAGGATATGTAGTCTCTTTTAAAGTTAGGGACATCTCCACAAGAACTCTCTTGTCTCATTTAATTCTGATTTTCTTTCAGCTAATAACGAGTTTCTTTTGCACTCAGTTCTTACCAGTTTTGCTTAGTAGAAACAGAAGTACTGTTCTGACACCCTTAAAGAATAATACATTTTCTTTCACTGTACATTTTTTGTCAGGTAGATTCAAAGTCTCTTTTGGTTGTTGTGGTACTCAAAACTGATGCTAAAAATGAAATATAAAAAATGCCAGAGAAGTCAGTAGTCTGTTCACCTGGTTAGAATTTTAGAGGGACAACAGTTTCTTAAGACCCTGGAGCAGGGAAGGGGTCAGGGAGCTAGATCTCTGGCCAGACACACACACCTTAAGGTAACTGATGTCTGCTACAAGAAAGGGATTGAGTGATCGTAAACAAGTTTTCAGAGACAGCAGAATTGTTTTCAGAAGCCACTTATTTGATATAAACTAGTGATTTCACTGAAATTTCTTGAAGAAAAGATACATGGACATTCATCTGGGCCCACTTTTGTTCCTTCCCAGCCTTCCTCACACAGCGTTCATGGCATCTATTGCAGTCCTGCAGATGGAAACCCTATCCTTTTGACAGCGGGCTCTGACATGAAGATAAGGTACTCGGAGAGATGTGACAACATTTTGGGGTGGGAATTGGGTTTGGGGGAGGAAGCTCTTTTCAATTTCAGCTACCCAAAGACTGGGTTTTTTTTTTTAAATTAGAAATGTTGGCTTTATATTTGTGCTTAAGATCATTTATGTTTTGCCAGGAAAACTGTTAATGCTTTGTTTTATAACTAATTTTAGGCTGTTGTTTCTAGGTAATGTCATGAAATCTGAATTCTCTTAAAAAGAAGGAAAGTCACAATTTTCTACTGAGAAGCTTAAAGCAGGATCAGCGTTACTATTTTGGGCCTTCAGAAGTTAGTCACTGTTTGAATTTTTTTCCCACAGATTTTGGGATCTGGCTTACCCAGAGAGGTCCTATATTGTTGCTGGAGGTAGTAGTTCACCATCTGTTTCCTACTATAGGAAAATCATTGAAGGCACAGAAGTCGTCCAGGTATGGCAGGCTTTTGCACGGTTGTTTTGTTTTTTCAGCTTTTGTTGCTGTGAGATGGCACAGTCCTTAAATGCCTACAGCACAGGTGATGGTTAGAGCTACAGCAGAGTTTAGATGGTATCTGGTACAGCCCCTTCTGCCCCTTGGACAGGACCTGGGGACACTGAGGCTCTGATTACCAGAGGTCACAAAGCTTGTGGCACCATTGGCCTCGAGCCCAAAGCCTCTCGACTTTCTATCCAGGGCTTTCTGCATCTTCCCTCGTGGCCTTTAATGGCACTTTTTAAGTATCAGCAATTAGTTTTTATGAGGCTTTTTTTTTTAAAGCAAGCTGAGCTATATGCTCCAAATAAACATTTTTCCATCATTCCATAGAGAGAAATTCACTCATTCAATGATTATCTGTTTTGAATGGCGGTTAGAAATTGTCTTGGTTGAAAATAATCGTCATATAAGCTATGTCACCATAGAGTAATTAGATTGATTCCACAAACTGCATAGGGATATCATATCTCATTTTTTGTAACACTTTATTTTAAAGTTAGACGTCCCTCACAGCTTGGAGCACTTTAGAAGGAAGAATGCAAATGAGCCATTGGGTTTAAGGGAAGGAACTAGTTGTAACAAGTCAGAAAGCTGTTAGCTCTGTTGCCTGAGCAAGGCTATTCCACCGCTGCCTGGAACTCATTCTTTCAGTCCTAATTAGACCAATATGGGGTTGGGGGAGAGACAGAGACAGAGACATGTGTGCGTGTGCGTGTGCAGCAGGGGAGGAGCACTTTGAACCAACCTAAAGTTGATGCAGGTCGTCCTCTTAACTTGTGAGCAGTTTTAGGGAGCATCTACATGAAGGGTGAAGGTAATGCCATTCACACATGGGATGATACTAGGCCTATCTAGGCAGTTTGACTGAATCGAGAGTATTCCATTAGCCAGAGAGTCATGAAGGAAGAGAACTTATTTACTTTCAGTAGTCGTTGTTGATTTAGGCAAGTACCATTTTCACATGATAAGAAACGTTATGCCTGATTGATACTTGTTTTTGTAATGGTGTGGATACTGCCTTAATGTTTATGGATAACTTGTTTATTTTGAACCTCAGCTATGTCTGCCCTGTAATTTTCCCTCTTGAGGACAGATGTTGTATATGAAATGTGTTCTTTCTCAAGTATCTAGTCTTGAGCAGGTTCTGAATTATTACTTCATTGTAGGGTCAAGCTGGATCCTGAAGGGATTGTGGTTTCAAATAACGACCTTTACCGATAGTGCCTAGAGTTGAGGGGATAAGTCAGTCATTAGACGTCTCTTAAGTGAGTACTGTGTGCCCAAACTGTGCCATGCTTTCGGGATACAAAGGATGGCAGAAACAGGCTCTCAAGGTGCTCACAGCCTAATGGGGGAAGACAACCATGTGCAAACGCGCCATATGTATAGAACAGATAGGAAATGATCATGGGAAAGGAAGGTTTTGTTCTGTCGTAGTAGAGATTTAAAAGTTCCTTCTCCATAGGATAGGTTCCACCTTGAATGTAATGGTGATGTGCAACCCCACCTGCCATCCTGTCTGTTCTCCGAGTTTTACAGAGATGTTTAAGAAGCTTGTCCCCAAAGCAGGAATCCTCACCCAACCCAACTCTTAGAGCCCCCTTATAATCTTCTGGCCTTGTCTTTTCCCTCCTGTTGGACCTCTGATTAGGAAATTCAAAACAAACAGAAGATTGGACCTACAGATGACACCCCTCGAAGGGGCCCAGAGTCTCTCCCTGTTGGCCATCATGACATCATTACGGATATCGCAACTTTCCAGACTACACAAGGCTTTATAGTAACTGCGTCGAGAGATGGCATTGTGAAAGTGTGGAAGTAGAAACTGCACTGATTTGTATAATTTCTAATAAGGAAATAAATCATATACTACAATTTTCTATATAAAACAGTATTTTTAGAAAACAGAATTATGGAAGATGGAGGTGAAAAGTCTTGTCATTAGTGTTGTTGCCTTACGTTTAACCCAGCTTTCGGGATCGTTGTGTTCTGTTCAGTGTGGTGGCTGAGTGAGTTGAGAAAACCATACCTGAGGTGGTCATGAAGTGATCAGTGGCATGGGATCTAATGCCTTCCACCTTTCTTTGAGGAAGCACTAGGAGAGTCACGTCAGATTGTGGACACGATGAATTTGAAGTGCCAGCATAGAGCAGCGTATTCATCAGCTGGTTTTCCTTTGAATCAGTTCAGTTCAACAACTGTTTATTCCTTGAAAAAGATATCACGAAACGTTGCCCTCCGAGTCCCATCTGCTCTGTTCAGCATGCTTGAAAATAAATGCCACTTGACATGTTCAAGTTCTATTTTTTTTAAACTTGCAAACCTTGAAAGGGAGAAAAACAAAGCTCCCCAGTAGTTTTAGCTCTCGGGGCAGGTGAGGCGTATAGTGTGTTCTTAGATAGTGACGAGATCATCCATTGGGCTTGGCTGACTTTTTAAACTAAATCTTTAACTGGAATTTGATGAGGGAAAAGCATCATGGCAATGTTAGCTATGCCTGAAAATCTCTTTGGTTATCTGAGCCTGCTCAGTGGCGTTTGGAAAATGTCACACAATAAAGACATTTCATGTGCTAGAAATGTTGGAGCTAGCCGATTTGTCAACTGGCACATAAGCCTAACCACAGGAAACTCTTTCAAAAACAGTGACATCAATTTAAAAAAGAAAAACCCCACTATGTAATGACTGTCAGGACCCTGTAATGGCAGAGCTGAGACTTCAGACACAGCTCCTTTAACCTGTATGTGAACAGGAGCTCCCTCTCTAGGGCCCTCCAGCTAAAGGCTAACCATGCACCTCCTCAGGTCCACGCCTCGTCTATTTTTGCATACCTGTAATCGTCAGGAAGTTTTCTGAATCTTAATTTAGAAAAACAAAAACTTTCATTACTCACTTTCTCAGACTAATTTGGGTTTGACTTACCAGGCTTCCCTGGCACCATGATGGTTTCTAGGTATGTAGGCCCATTCTCAAACAGACTCATGTTGACATAGAAGTCATCAGTCAATACTTTAGAAGATCCACAGATTCATTGCTGTGGGTTTCCTCCTTCCATTGATAGAGATCACAACTCTTCCGTGCCTCATTGTGGTCAAAAACTATTTATAATGGAGCCCTTCCAAACTGACAGCAAAGCCTTTGAGAATATGGGATTACTTTCAGGCCAGAAAGAGAGGCTAGGCAGATTGTAGTAAGTCTCTAATTTCCACAAAGTAGTGATTAAAAACAACTTTCACTGAAGTCAATACATGAATACCTTGACCTACTCCCTCAAGGGAGCTCCTCCCTAGGCCTTGAGATTCAGGAACTAGGAAGACTTCAGTTCTGGGCCCATGCATATTTGCTGTCTGCTTCTTCATCAGAGGTATAATGAAGCATGCTCATTTGTGGTACTGGCTAGCTACATTTCCCAACCTGTTTTGATTTTTTATTAATATTTCTGCATTAATGTAGAATCTAAGACTTGGTTCAGCAGCATTTGTATTAGATGCCGACTAGTCTAAGTGGTCTTGCAGTGCGCTCTTAGAGAAAGATGGCAGTATTAAAGTGTTTTTACTATTAAAACAATATATTCATGTGTATACATACTTTAAATTGATCAGAATGGATACACTACTACTCACCAAGGTACAGATCTTTTGTGCCTCTTCAGAGTCTGATGAGATCTGCAGGGCATTCATTTTCCCTTTGTAGTGAGGAATGTTATTTTTCAGCAAGAAAATTCCTTTTTCATCATGAATTCAGTCACAAAAGTTTTGAGCTTAGAAGACCAGAAAACTGAAAATGGATTACCTGGGTGAAGAAATGTTCTAAAAAAAAAAATCCCAAGTCTCCCAATTAGTTTTCCTTGATTATAAAGATGAGGTTCCAGTCCTGCTTCTGACATATCCTGGTTGTGTGACTGTGGCTGAGTCACCTATTTGTCCCTGTCAGCTGCCTTGGTGTAGGAGTTTCCTTCCACCTGAGGTCTCTGTGTGAATAAAATGGCATGCACCTCCTAGTCCCTCCCCAACAATGACAACAGACTCAGTAAATCATACCACCCTCTCGCCAAGCCCTTTCATTACAGCCCACTGGCTCATAATCGAGGTTCCCAGGTTCAGGATTTCATGCCACTTAGCAGTTAGCTCTGTAAATGACTGAGCCCCCCATAAAGGGCCATCATCAGTGTAGCCTAAACGCCAGGATGATCAAACGGACATCTGTAAATGTACGTGTGCTCAGAAGCTCAGTGACTTGCCCTAATTGGGAAACGCAGTGTTGGCCTCTTCAGTATTTTATCCACAATCTCCTTAAAAGTTCTGTTAACCGTGTTTATAATTAAAAGAGCACAGAGATGGGGGGTGGGAGTGGTTGGGTGAATATATTGGGAATAAATTCTACATAAATTACAACAGTGAACTTTTTCAGCATTCTTTTTCCCTGGATCTATGGAAGACTCTTGTGCTTGACCTCATCAGTTTCCTTGGAAAGCTGCCACTTTTAAACTTCCCAGTGGTCATTGCTGCTCAGCACCATCAGATGTGTGGCATCCTACCAACGCAGAACTGATTCTTGTATTAAGAATTGGGAGAGAATTTCAAGATGCTGATTAATATCATACGTGTGTCCATATAAATATTTAACTTTTAGATGTGGAGAGGAGAAAGGAAGGAGGCTGTATCTATGGGGTCATTTAGCCTGTTTTCACAGGCTATTGGCTTGAGCCTCCTTTGAATTTCATCTAAATATTGCTTAATCCAGAAAGTCCGACTCACTGCCCGCTGTGCAAGAATCATGGGAGCCGTAGACTTGGACTTCTTATGAATTCATTTGTTTCAGAGTGAGTGTTTCACCCTAATGACAAATCAAACCTGCCTACTTACTTGGCTCCTGGTCACTAAATTAAACTCAAGTGACTAGAGCCCTCAATTAACTGGGCTTTTTTCCCCTAGTATTTCACTTTCAGGCAAGAGAGGTGAGTCTTTAAAAAATAAAAACCAAACAACTGCGTTGACAGATGGGATTTATTTTTTTTTTTAAATTAGCTTCCACCCTAGGCCCTGGAGCTTATGCACGCCGAGGCCAATCTTATGTCCTGTACACCTACAGTCTAATACAATAAGAATTCATATTCAGAATGACAGGTATTAGCAGAAACGTTAGTCACCTAAAGAAGATCATTTTACTTATCAAAGCAGAAATAGACTAGTATAGTTCTGACATGTTTTCAATAACCAGAACTGAACCAAAAACACCCAAACAACCTTTTCTGCATAAATTAGCAAAGGCAATTAACCAGAACTTCTCTTAAAAAAAATGCAGTTAAGATTTTTTCTTTTCTTATTTGACAATCTGAACTGTTATGTTCCCCACCTATATTGGGGAAAAAAACAACCAAATAAACCACAAAAACCATAGATACGCTTTCCTCCGCATTAAGTTGTCATTTCCCCTTTAACACCTGAGTATGAATATTATGTAAAACTCCTTGGAGCTCTTGGTCCCCTGAAGTCTGTGGAAGCCAGCTCTGTGCTTTTGCCCAAGAGAGATGAGCAGAACTTGGGGTGTGGTGGGAGAGATGAAGAGAGGTATGGAAAAGAAATCTGGCTCATGTATTAAAGACTGACCCACACCCATATGGGCTGAGGAATGGGAATGAAATGAAGGACAAGTGCTGCTGCATACTGGTCTTGGGAGTTGGTAAATGACAACCTGGCTGACCCAGTCTTTCCTTCTGAAAGGAAATGGTGGCCCAGGGCCCAAGGGCACAGAGTGCTTGAGGGAAAAGGCAGAGGGTTGGGAGGACCAAGCAGCATCTGAAAATAACCTAGAGCTAAATAACCACCACGACAATGCATTTTTGAGCATTAAACAGTTCTAAGTGGAGAAGGCAAGCTGGGTATGTATAAATCAGACTGGAGTATAGTTTGCAAAAACTAACATTGCTGCCGTGATCACACATCCACAGTCTATACATTGCCCACAGCTCACATCTGCAATCTGTAAGCATCAGACTTTTCAATGTGCTTAATATGACAGCAAAAGAGCATCTCAATTCTTTGATTCTTCAATCTTCCATTTATCATAGTACTCTGAAACTTCAGTTTTAAATTGTTGGAATGGTCTGGGTCTCTAGTCACATAAATGCTAAGACAAGGCATACATGCGACAGGGCCAACAGTACACCAGTGTCACTTGGTAACATTCATCAAATTCAGTCACAGCCCCAAGTTTCTAAATTCACGAAATTTATCCCCATGCAAACGTGACTTGCTGACTGTTGGTTCAGTTACTTAAGCTTCTCGGGCTGGTCCCGGGAATACAATACCAGGACACTGCTACCCAACGCAGACCTATGTTGCACACAGCAGCTTCTTAAAGATGAGGCTTGGGAACAATGCTTGGCATTTTGTTTCCACTTTTAAAGGGACGGTATGTATTCCTGGTATAAGCGTTAGTGTTCCAAACAGCATTGCCCCGTGCTACTGGAGAGAGAGGTTTTTTGGACAGAAACTTTGCTTCAAATGGTCCAGCATGGGCAAGGCTACATAAGAGAAAGATGGAAAACACATTAGAGGGTGAAGAAAGCCAATTTTATGCAATTATGACTAAAAATGTAATGGTTACTCTACCTTCTGAAATGACACTTGCGCCCTTTTTCATTTTACCTCAGGATCCTACAGCTAGAAGGAACCTTAGAAGCTTTATCTAATCTAGTCCCTTCATTTTACAAATGAAAAAACAGGTTCAGAGAAGCTGTGACTTCCCTTTCACCTACATGTTCTATTTTAAAGTTGTACATGTGACCACTTCCTATGCTGTAAGCCTTATGTTCCTCGTTCCTGGTGCTTGGTCTCCACAATTCACTGCTTTTGTTGCTTTTGCATTTACTCCACCAATAAATGAACAATGGAAAGAAACAGAAAACTCCCGACAGTCAATTCTGAAAATTACAAGAAGCTCTGGCAAAATGTTTGGTGGAGAAAAGAAAGATTAAAAAGACACGTTAAAAATAGCTTTTGTTGTATTAAAATAAAAGGAAACTAAAGGGGTGCCTAAGTTATTCAGGAATGGCTAAAATAATTATTCATATGTGAATGTAATGGACTATTGTGCCCAAAGAAACGATGAAATGGACAGACTGAGGGGAACCCAGAAGATCTGTATAATGAATGCAGAGAGGAGGCAGAACTAGAACAGTATATCTAATAAACATCATTACAGAGAAACACAGCTTTGAAAGGCATTGCAACTCTAGTCAACACAATAATAAACCAGGAGCCCCAAAGAATGAAGAGGCATGTCAGCCCT